TGGGGAGTTTCTCCCATTCTTCTCTGCGTCGCTGCACAGCTATTTTCAGGTCTCTCCATAGATGTTCGATCAGGTTCAAGTCCGGGCTCTGGCTGGGCCACTCAAGGACATTCAGAGACTTGTCCCGAAGCCACTCCTGCGTTGTCTTGGCTGTGTGCTTAGGGTCGATGTCCTGTTGGAAGGTGAATCTTCGCCCCAGTCTGAGGTCCTGAGTGCTCTAGAGAAGGTTTTCATCAAGGATCTCTCTGTACTTTGCTCCGTTCATCTTTCCCTCGATCCTGACTAGTCTCCCAGTCCCTGCCACTGAAAAACATCCCCACAGCATGATGCTGCCACCACCATGCTTCACAGTAGGGATGGTGCCAGGTTTCCTCCAGATGTGACGAATGGCAAAAAAGCTGTTGCACGGCGCCGACCACTCTGGAGGGAAGCCGACCACTCTGGAGGGAAGCCGACCACTCTGGAGGGAAGCCGGCCTCACGATTGCTCATTGCTACTTGTGAGATTTCAGTTAGGCTCCTTTTCCACTTAACCCATCTGAAAAGTACAGTTTCCTTGACATGTCATTTTGAAGTCCCCATCTTGTGACTGTCGAATTTGTATAGCGGCTCACAATATCACAGATAACATAGCCGGCACTGCTATCATCCTCTTTCAATTGGCAGGTATTATGTATACTCAAATCTTTCCCAAACAAAATGTTACCACTTCACCAAATCTTTCCCAATCATTAGACTACTGTTCTGACCCTCCCTTCTATAACATTAGACTACTGTTCTGACCCTCCCTTCTATAACATTAGACTACTGTTCTGACCTCCCATCTATAACATTAGACTACTGTTCTGACCCTCCCTTCTATAACAGACTACTGTTCTGACCCCCCCTTCTATAACATTAGACTACTGTTCTGACCCTCCCTTCTATAACATTAGACTACTGTTCTGACCCTCCCTTCTATAACATTAGACTACTGTTCTGACCCTCCCTTCTATAACATTAGACTACTGTTCTGACCCTCCCTTCTATAACATTAGACTACTGTTCTGACCCTCCCTTCTATAACATTAGACTACTGTTCTGACCCTCCCTTCTATAACATTAGACTACTGTTCTGACCCTCCCTTCTATAACATTAGACTACTGTTCATATTGAATTAAACCCTCCTTTTTGCCTCAGTGAATCAACGTGAACTTGATTTGCAATGGTAAAATGTAGGCTATTTTGGGGCATAACCAATATATCATAAATCTACTTAAACTTTACATAATTAGAAACCATTTGGCATTGGCGTGTATTTGGCGTGCTTACAGGCTAATGCAACGTCTGAGCAGGGGAACGCGATCACTGCCATGATCTTCCAGTATGTAACAACCGGTATGGTACAACTCTGATTGAATCTCTCACCTTATTTCAGTGTATCGCCAGACTCGCGGGTGGCTCATTGACTGCGACCACCTCTTACATACTGTACACGCGCTGTCCCGTTCCTTTACCGATAGGTAGGAGAATATGTGCGCCAGGACTTCTTCGGGAACCTCCATTCGGCTGTCGACTAACCAGAAATAGTACAGTTGACTATTGCAGAACAACAGTTACATTTCTATGTACTCGTTCTGTATAAGAACGGACCCTTGTGCGTGTTCGGTAAACACGAAACCAGATCACTTTTTAAACAGAGTCCAGAGTCCAAACTAGCTGAAGTTGTCCAATACGAATTTGCTCTCCGTTGCAAAAAAAACGTTTACTTTCAACAACTCCCTTTGCCCTGGACCAGGTCACTAGCTACCACAGCCACATTGTCATAAACCCAATTTCTTTATAAAAATGTATCTTATTAAATTCTGATTTTATACCTAACCACACTGCAAAACTTAAATTAAGACAAAATAGCTCATTTTTGTTTTCATTAATTGTTACGATATAGCCCATTCTGACTTTGTGGCTGTGCAATCTAGTGGAAACCGGAAAACGTCACTTCCAGATAGCAGAGAATGTCCCGCTGCTGTTTTCTACCGGCGCTACGTCAAGACATGATGTTCAGCCTCCGCTCAGAGGACAGCTAGATACCCGAGGCCCCGCTCAGAGGACAGCTAGATACCCGAGGCCCCGCTCAGAGGACAGCTAGATACCCGAGGCCAGCCGGAGGCTGCAAGCTGTTCTTGTTGTTTCTATAAATACCTTACATTTGTTGTGATTTTAATGTGGTTTAATTTATTTGCCAATTTAAAAACAATACAACCACACGTGGTTGCCGATGACACAAAAAGTGATAAACTTTACATAATTAGATGTTGGCCTAAGTAGATTTATGATATATTGGTTATGCCCCAAAATAGCCTACATTTTACCATTGCAACGGAGAACGATTTCACCCACTTGAAGAAAAGTGTTGATCACAACGGCCAGTAGATGGCGGCACCTCTTCAACCCCACAGAAGACGCGGAAAAGCCTCAACACGAAGTTCTTCGTAGCTACCATCCGCCATGCTCGTCACTAGTTACCACAGCCATAAAGTCATAAATCGCGCCTATTTCTACATTTTGTCTTATTAAAATTTGATTTTAAACCTAACCCTAAGCTTAAACACACTCATAACCTTAAATTAAGACCCAAAAGCTATCTTTTTTTCTATACTTTCTTCGATATAGCCAACTTCGACTTTGTGGCTGTGGTAACTAACGTTGGTGGAAACCATCCTCCCATCGAGTTTTCAAACCTCTAATGGGAGAAACACGCAGGGAAGAAAGTAGCTGAGGGAGTGAGTCGAGAGGAGGTAGTGGATGTCCCACAGTCTGCAGTGAATGCCATTCAGGAGAAGGATCCTGACATACTAATAGTGAAGAAGGTGGACGTTTATAGCGCAAGTGATAAATTGCACTTGTCAAACTAATTTTAAAAAAATCTATGACGCTAGACATCATTGTGAAGGCGGCAAATAGATTTCTGGATCTCCAGGACTTTACAGCCAAAATGTTACAGGGAGCACTGAATGAAGAGGTTCCCCCCCTCCAGGTTCCTGATCCTGTGTAGGGATCTGAATAGTACAGTTTTTGTTAGAAATTCAGGGTAGTGGTGTGAATTTGGTTCGTGTTTATGTTTTATTTTTTGGTTAAGTGGTATGATTTTGGGGGTATGTAGTCTGCCAATAAACTTAGAAGAAGAGAATGGAAGATGGCGGAAGTGAATGCAGAGTTCGAATTAAGCAGCGCGTCGAGTACATTTGGTGAAGACGATTGTTCTGAATGGACAACAGCAGTATCGGAAACTGGAACAAAAAGGAAAATTATGTCAAATTGGAGTGGAGGATACGTGTATGAATGATAATGAATCACTTCTTGTTGGGATGCGTTTGTTGAGTAAGGACGCATATGTGGGAAACCCGTTTGAGGTGTCAAATTGTGAAGTATGCGCTTGTATTTCTGAAGAGCAGAGGAAGATTGCAGTGGGCCTCAAAAGAATCCGGACAACAGAAGTATCGTGCTTCGAACTTCGGAGTAGAGCACCCGTCAAAGAAGTCTTCTCAGGGGTGACGACGGATGTTCAGGTTGAATACCTGAAGATAATTCCTGGTGTGATTGGTGCCCGGCATCTGACCCGCTGGGTCAATGGAGAAAAAGAATAAAGTTGGTCCTGTTGTTTTTTGATAAAGAGCAAATACCTTCGCATGTGAAGCTTGGATATGTAACATACGCTGGAAGAGCTTTCGTCCCCAAGCCATTGTAAGAATTGTAAAGGATTTGGCCATGTTTCAAGTGTGTGCAGACGGACTGAAGATACTGAAGAACGGTGTGTAGAAGGACGACGGTGTTGCTGTTGTGGTGGAGATCATGATCCTGAGTTCCCGGAGTGCCCTGTAAGGGTGAAGGAGATTGAGGTGGTCAAAGTTAAAGCGACCACCCGATTGCGCAATGCTAACTGGGAAGTCCTTGTGACACGTTGAAATTCTACAGTACCATTTTCAATAAATATCCATTGATCATTTAAATATTTCACTGTCCGTTCCAATCAAATAAAATGAAGAGATTTACCAAACATTTGCCAGCATCAATACAGGCTGTTGCAAATCATGTCGTTACCAAGTGTTTTAAAACCTCAACAACTAGAAGCTATTCATTTGGGGAGGGTACGGGATAAACCAACGTTGCTGTAAAAACATGATGAAACAAAAACACAGGTTGCTATGTGTGGTCAGTTCATTTAATTGGTGAACACCAGAATGTTAATCCAAATCTGGGGAAAACAGAAGCAACACACAGTGTAGAGTTAGTTAGAAAGAGACCCCCAGAGTAGAGTTAGTTAGAAAGAGACCCCCAGATCCCAGCAGCGGTGTGATACGAGTCATGATGTTTGACGATACCAGGAGCAGACGCTGAGTGGGATCAGGAGGACACTTATTATTCTGACTTGAGGTTCGCTTGCTTATCTCAAGACTTTAAACAGTCTCCTATTGATACTGATTTAATGATTTATGCTAAAAATAAAAAATAAAAAGTCAAGAGTTATGTGTGAATGTCCCCCTTACAGAATACATATACAGTTGAACAAAGCTGACAGTTTAATATCTTAACCAGAACAAAATCTCATGTAATATTCAGTCACCAGAACACTACTGACAACACTGCCTGGGGTTGTGCAATATAATGTTTCTACAAAATACAGGATTGTCCCAAATGGTTTCCTGTATAGTGCACTACTTTAGACCAGAGAATGGCACCCTATTCCCTATATAGTGCACCACTTTAGATCAGGGCCCTATTGGGGATAGGGAGCATTTGGACGTAGCCACACTTTTGTTCTTTACAGGATACAGTCCTTCCAGACACTATAGTACAGACTAGACCCTACAGTAGACACTACAGAACAGACTGGACCCTACAGTAGACACTACAGTAGACACTACAGTAGACACTACAGAACAGACTGGACCCTACAGTAGACACTACAGAACAGACTGGCTGGTCCAGAGTCTGGCCTCTAGTGGCCCTGTGGATGTTCAGACTGGCTGGTCCAGAGTCTGGCCTCTAGTGGCCCTGTGGATGTTCACATCCTGAACACTCCGAAACGTGTCCTCTGTGTCGGGGCATTGAGCGTAGCACTGAGACTCATTCCCAGAACCAGACGGGTGTCAGCCGGGTCAATGATACCGTCATCCCACAGCCTATGCAGACGGGCAGAACAACATGGAAGTTAAAACAGAAGGTGAAAACTCTTCAATAATTCATTATAAGCACTTTAATAATGGATGTTTAATGCCATCATAGAGTCCCTGATGAACTATGCATCATAGACTGGGTGATGCTGATATCTCACCGAGCGCTGGAGAAGTATGGGCTTCCTTCCTCTTCAAACCGTTTGACGATGGGCTCCTTCATGGCAGCCTCCTGCTCTGCTGTGAACTGAACATGGAACAGTGGTTATATTAGTCCTGCAACAGCTCAGATCAGCCTTTTTTCAAACCTCCCCCCTTGGGGACCCCAGGCGTTTCACAATGTTGTTGCAGCCCTGAACCATCTCACCTGATTAATGTAGTCAAGGCGCTTCATGATTAGTTGAAAAGGTGGATCAGTTTTAGTGCTGTGACGGTTTCGGAATTTTTGGATGACTTATTGGTCAACGTTAGAATAGCAAAAAAAAAAAAAAGAATAATAATTGATTTTCTATTTATTTCATTTCTATGTGTGTTACTGCTGCAGAGATGGGGACGTTGCCTAGGCAACCGAAGACCGGTTTTCTAGAAAACCTTGGTCTGTTTCAGCAAGGAGCAACAAAGTTTCATCACGTTGTAAAGAGTCCATGTTATTGCAGAAATGGACTCAACCGCATGAATACCTGGCCGTCCCATCTGAATACCTGGCCGTCCCATCTGAATACCTGGCCGTCCCATCTGAATACCTGGCCGTCCCATCTGAATACCTGGCCGTCCCATCTGAATACCTGGCCGTCCCATCTGAATACCTGGCCGTCCCATCTGAATACCTGGCCGTCCCATCTGAATACCTGGCCGTCCCATCTGAATACCTGGCCGTCCCATCTTGAGTCAGCTGTTCGTTCCGCACACATAAACGGTTATGACGGTTATTTTATTTCATGACGGTCTTCATCCATACACTGTAATTGTGCCAGCCCTAATCAGGTGTGCTAGCTCTGGGGGGTCCCAGGAGAGGTTGGCTCACTGACATGTGGTGGAGTAATGCTCACCTCTTTGCCCTCTCTGGCCCGCTGGTCTTTAGTGATGGTGGCTAGCACAGTGGCAGCCTGCTCTCCTCCCATCACAGAGATACGGGAGTTGGGCCACATGTACAGAAACCGGGGGCTGGAGGAGGGGAGGAGACATCTTGTTTACTGTCCATGAGAAACCAAGGGTCCCTCTAGACACCAGGGAATGAAGGGCCTAATCCTAGTTCTGTCCAGAAAGGGCAGGGATCATCAACTAGATTCTTTCTTGAGTGGATGGTTGGGGGGCCCGGAAAATAATTACAAATAATTTGTAGACTTCAAATTGACCGCAAGAGATATAATGTTAGACTAAAACAAAATAATTACAAACCTTACTTACATTTCCATACGACCATGTGTCTCTATTATGAGGGGGAATACTTGGGAACAGATGTCTTAAATTAAAATCCCTTGGAGCTGATTTCCTGCTGATTCTACAGTCTTTTATGTCCAACAATGAAAAAGTAAATTATTTTTATTTTTTGCTCAGTACTTAAGGGGCCAAATAAAACCACCCGCCTGTTGGGGAACCCTTATACAGGGTATAGCTGTAGGCTTGACAGGCCATGTCATCAGGGCCTGTGTTGTATTGTAGGTTGGTGTAGTGTGCAGGGTATACCTGTATGCTCTGCCACACATGCCGTAGTTGCCCGCTCCATACGAGCCGCCGATGATCACCGTGATCTTGGGCACGTTGGCACACGCAACCGCCGTGACCATCTTAGCCCCATCCTTGGCGATGCCACCTGCCTCATACTCCCTGCCCACCATGAAGCCTGCAGAGACAGAGAGGGAGGAGGACCGGGACAGAGAGGGAGGAGGACCGGGACAGAGAGGGAGGAGGACCGGGACAGAGAGGGAGGAGGAACGGGACAGAGAAGGAGGAGGACAGAGAGGGAGGAGGACAGAGAGGGAGGAGGACAAAGACAGAGAGGGAGGAGGACCGGGACAGAGAGGGAGGAGGACAGAGACAGAGAGGGAGGAGGACCGGGACAGAGAGGGAGGAGGACAGAGACAGAGAAGGAGGAAGACCGGGACAGAGAGGGAGGAGGACAGGGACAGAGAGGGAGGAGGACAGAGAGGGAGAGAGGGGGACAGAGCACAAAACAAAAAGATGAAACATTTAACTTCATACACCCTGCCAGCCATGTCTTGAAGGAATCAATCTCTTCTGTACTTACCCGTGATGTTTTGTAGAAAGATAAGGGGAATGTTCCTTTGACAGCATAACTCTATGAAATGAGTTGCCTGGAACACAGTAATGGACAAGCCATTATGTACATAGTGGTTATTTTAATGTGAACTAAAAGATCATACTTCTCTGTTAGATCAACTTGAAATAAGGTATTAACAGTCCTCAACTGCATAAACTTACTTTCTTAGCAGACTCTGAGAACAGGACTCCGTTGTTACCAATGATTCCAACAGGGTAACCAAATATCCTGGAGAACCCTGTGAACAGACATGGGATGGAATCTAATCACACCTGTACTTCTACGACACAAAGCACCATCTCTCAAGACACGCAGGGTTATATCTACATACTGGATGTACTGCAGATATACACTACATGACCAGAAAACCCATTTCATGAAGCTCCCGATGAACAGTTCTTGTGCTGACGTTGCTTCCAGAGGCAGTTTGGAACTCGGTAGTGAGTGTTGCAACTGAGGACAGGCGATTTTTACGTGCAACTCGCTTCAGTACTCGGTGGTCCCGTTCTGTGAGCTTGTGTGGCCTACCACTTCACGGCTGAGCCGCTGTCGTTCCTAGACGTTTCCACTTCACTGGTCCGGAAGGGGTCAGTTAACTCCATCCTCAGGAAGTTGGAGCATTTTGCATTAAAAAAAAACCCTGTAACCACCATTTCCTGAAACCTAGCGTTTTAAATGATATCAAACAATGTAGCCGACACAGTTGCCTTGTGTTTGATCTTAAATGAAATGGAGATGGTCTCAATGAAACTCACATTTTTCTAGGTTAAATTTAGGGGTAATGATTTTTCTAATTAATAGGTGTCTTTATGTGAGGATTGTCTAGTGAAAATGTAAACTGGCTTTTTCTTAATTTTATCGGGGGAAAGAATTCTGAATTATTAAATTACTGGACGCAATGTAGTAGTTTAGCTTACTGTAGGCTATGCGCTGTAAGTGTTCTCGCTTAGTTCACTAAACGCCGTAGCTAACTACCTTCGTCGTAATGACGCCTTAGCTAAGGAGCCAACTACGACATAATAGTGGTTATGTGCTTCACTAACACATCCAACACCTTTTCCTCACATATCAGTGGTATCAACGGAGGAAGTGGAGAGCTGCCATGCAGCTTGAGGGAGGAAAATAGTAACTATGACGATGGGGGGGGGGGGGGGGGGGGGGCAGAGAGCTACTGTTTTTTCTCCTCGCCCAAGTCCTCTGATTGGCTCAGCTCCAACTTTAGAAGGTTGAGTCAAAAACCACAATGTGCCAACTAGAAGCCTATTTTTTCGTATTTTAGGGTATTTTTTCATACCAGTGTATTTTGACCACGGTGTCCAACCCCAGGTAGTATAAACCGATAGTGACCAGCCTAAACCCCAGGTAGTATAAACCGATAGTGACCAGCCTAAACCCCAGGTAGTATAAACCGATAGTGACCAGCCTAAACCCCAGGTAGTATAAACCGATAGTGACCAGCCTAAACCCCAGGTAGTATAAACCGATAGTGACCAGTCTAAACCCCAGGTAGTATAAACCGATAGTGACCAGCCTAAACCCCAGGTAGTATAAACCGATAGTGACCAGCCTAAACCCCAGGTAGTATAAACCGAGTGACCAGCCTAAACCCCAGGTAGTATAAACCGAGTGACCAGCCTAAACCCCAGGTAGTATAAACCGATAGTGACCAGCCTAAACCCCAGGTAGTATAAACCGATAGTGACCAGCCTAAACCCCAGGTAGTATAAACTGATAGTGACCAGCCTAAACCCCAGGTAGTATAAACCGAGTGACCAGCCTAAACCCCAGGTAGTATAAACCGAGTGACCAGCCTAAACCCCAGGTGGTATAAACCGATAGTGACCAGCCTAAACCCCAGGTAGTATAAACCGATAGTGACCAGCCTAAACCCCAGGTGGTATAAACCGATAGTGACCAGCCTAAACCCAGGTGGTATAAACCGATGTGACCAGCTAAACCCCGGTAGTATAAACCGATAGTGACCAGCCTAAACCCCAGGTGGTATAAACCGATAGTGACCAGCCTAAACCCCAGGTGGTATAAACCGATAGTGACCAGCCTAAACCCCAGGTGGTATAAACCGATAGTGACCAGCCTAAACCCCAGGTAGTATAAACTGATAGTGACCAGCCTAAAACCCCAGTAGTATAAACTGATAGTGACCAGCCTAAACCCCAGGTAGTATAAACTGATAGTGACCAGCCTAAACCCCAGGTGGTATAAACCGATAGTGACCAGCCTAAACCCCAGGTAGTATAAACCGATAGTGACCAGCCTAAACCCCAGGTGGTATAAACCGATAGTGACCAGCCTAAACCCCAGGTAGTATAAACCGATAGTGACCAGCCTAAACCCCAGGTAGTATAAACTGATAGTGACCAGCCTAAACCCCAGGTAGTATAAACTGATAGTGACCAGCCTAGTGCTCACCTGTGACCACTGTATCTCCGTAGAAGGCTTTGAACTCATCAAACCTGCTGCCATCGACAATCCTGGCTATCACCTGGCAATCACACAGTAGAACATATTAGATATATTATAACACAACATAACAGTCAACACGGACCCCCATAATAAATATGAACCAGTACAATAGGTTTTTTTTAGCTCCTTCAGACCCCCATAATAAGTACATGAATAAACATGGGGGAAGTACCTCTCTGACATCAAAGTTGCGTTTGAGGTTGGCTCCTACGATGCCATACAGCTCCTCAGCTGGGTAGAGAGGATCCTCGGGGGGCTCGGTGGTCACCTGGCAACACCCCGGGTCAATAACGCCATGTTAATATAGGGGCAGGAGAGGAGAAGGGGGGGGGGGGGGGGCAACAAGAAGAAACTATGCAGAACATGTTTCAATGACTTATGTAGTTACGCCAAGTCTCTTTTTGTTTCACATTGTTTTTCTGAAAACATCGAACAAACATTAGCTACACACGAAACCAACACGCACCTCTTCTGACGTCAAAAACTACAGACCTGTATCCCTTCTTTCTTTTCTTTCTAAAACACTTGAGCGTGCCATCTCTGATCAACTCTCTTGTTATCTCTCTCTCTCAGAACCATCTTCTTGAACCTAACCAGTCAGGCTTCAAGACGGGTCACTCAACCGAGACTGCTCTTCTCTGTGTCACGGAGGCACTTTTCTCCTTCCCCCCTTCTGATACCCAGGTGGCGACACACATCTCTGTGTGCCTGGCAGATATCTCAGCTTGGATGTCAGCCCACCACATCAAGATCAACAAGATGGGGCTGCTCTTCCTCCCAGGAAGTCCTGCCCGCTCCAAGGCCCGCTCCGAGTGCAAGGAACCTTGGCGTGACCCTGGACAACACCCTGTCGTTCTCTGCAAACATCAAAGCAGTGACTCGCTCCTGCAGGTTGATGCTTTACAACATCCGTAGAGTACGACCCTACCTCACACAGGAAGTACATCCCTGCCTCACACAGGAAGTGGCGCAGGTCCTAGTCCAGGCACTTGTCATCTCCCGTCTGGACTACTGCAGGGCAGCAGCGGTTAGGAGCGTTGGGCCAGTAACTGAAAGGTCGCTGGTTCAAATCCCCGAGCTGACTAAGTGAAAAATCTGTCTGTGCCCTTGAGCAAGGCAATTAACCCTAATTGCTCCAGGGTGGCCGTCAATAATGTCTGATCCCTGGCCGTGACCCCACTCTCCGAGGGTCTCAGGGGAAGCTGATCCCTGGCCGTGACCCCACTCTCCGAGGGTCTCAGGGGAAGCTGATCCATGGCTCTGACCCCACTCTCCGAGGGTCTCAGGGGGATATGCAAGAAACACATTTCCTATTCACACTGGTACATGTGTGAAATAGGACAAATGTAAGCACCCACCTAATTATCTCAACTCTCTGTTGGCTGGGGTCCCCACTCGTGCCTTCAAACCCCTGCAACTTATCCAGAACGCTGCAGCCTGCCTGGTTTTCAACCTTCCTAAGTTCTCCCATGTCACCCTGTTCCTCCACACACTCCACTGGCTTCTAGATGAAGCTCACATCCACTACGAGACCATGGTACTTACCTACGGAGCAGCAAGAGGAACTGTATGTTCTTGGTCTAGTTGAGGTTATAACCCACGTGTATGTTGAGGTTATAACCCACCTGTATATTGAGGTTATAACCCACCTGTATATTGAGGTTATAACCCACCTGTATATTGAGGTTATAACCCACCTGTATGTTGAGGTTATAACCCACCTGTATGTTGAGGTTATAACCCCCCTGTATATTGAGGTTATAACCCCCCTGTATATTGAGGTTATAACCCACCTGTATGTTGAGGTTATAACCCACCTGTATATTGAGGTTATAACCCACCTGTAAATTGAGGTTATAACCCACCTGTATATTGAGGTTATAACCCCCCTGTATATTGAGGTTATAACCCCCCTGCCACCTGTATATTGAGGTTATAACCCCCCTGTATATTGAGGTTATAACCCACCTGTATATTGAGGTTATAACCCACCTGTATATTGAGGTTATAACCCACCTGTATGTTGAGGTTATAACCCACCTGTATGTTGAGGTTATAACCCACCTGTATATTGAGGTTATAACCCACCTGTATGTTGAGGTTATAACCCACCTGTATGTTGAGGTTATAACCCCCCTGTATATTGAGGTTATAACCCACCTGTATATTGAGGTTATAACCCACCTGTATATTGAGGTTATAACACCCCTGTATATTGAGGTTATAACCCCCCTGTATATTGAGGTTATAACCCCCCTGTATATTGAGGTTATAACCCCCCTGTATATTGAGGTTATAACCCACCTGTATATTGAGGTTATAACCCACCTGTATGTTGAGGTTATAACCCCCCTGTATATTGAGGTTATAACCCACCTGTATATTGAGGTTATAACCCACCTGTATGTTCTTGGTGTAGTTGAGGTTGCGGACGGCCTTGCGAGCCAGGTGAAGGGCGTGGCTATCGTCTAGGGCGTAGTGGTCTGTTACACCTGACTTCCTGTGGGACAGGAAACAGGAAACAAACACGGATCAACACTGGATAGAGGAACCATACCTAACTAATACCATACAGTACCTACCATACAGATACCTACCATACAGTACCTACCATACAGTACCTACCATACTGATACCTACCATACAGTACCTACCATACTGATACCTACCATACTGAATACCTACCATACTGATACCTACCATACTGATACCTTTCATACAGTACCTACCATACTGATACCTACCATACAGTACCTACCATACAGTACCTACCATACTGATACCTACCATACTGATACCTACCATACAGTACCTACCATACAGTACCTACCATACTGATACCTACCATACAGTACCTACCATACTGATACCTACCATACTGATACCTACCATATGATACCTACCATACAGTACCACCTACGATACCTACCATAGATCCCTACCATAAGTACCTACCATACGTCCTACCATACTGATCCCTCCAACAGTACCTCCCATTGATAAAAAAATACATACCTCCATACGTACCTCCCAATACTGTACCTACCATACAGTCCTACCTACAAACCTACCAACTGTCCCCTACCGTAATACCACCATACAGTCCCCTACAAAACAGTCCCTACCTATGATACCACCTACGTCCCCTACCAACAGTCCCCCATACTAAACCCTACCATCAGACCCCCAAAATGATACCTCCCGTACAGTACCTACCATACAGTACCTCCATACGTACCTACCATCTGATACCTACCTCTCCTACCTTTATGATACCACCATACAGACCTCCCATATGATACCAACATACGTACTCCCAAACATACCACCATACTGATACCTCCCAAAACAGTACCTACCATACAGCCCCTACCATATGATACCTCCAAAGATACCTCCTACAGTCCCTACCTACTAAACCTCCCGACGTACCTACCATCTGATACCTACCATACAGATCCCTACCATCATTACCTACCATACAGTACCTACCTACTGAACCTACCATACCGATCCCTCCTACAGTCCCTACCAACTGTACCTACCTCATCCCTCCCTACTGATACCCCATACTACCTACATACAGCCTACATACAGTACCTCCATACAGTACCTCCCCTTCTGATCCTACCATACAGTACCAACCATACAGTCCTACCATACTAAACCCTCCCAACGTCCCTACCATACAGTCCCTCCCTATATACCTACCAACAGACCTCCATCTATCCCTCCCGTACGTACCTCCAATACCTCCCATCCCGAACCTCCATCAGATACCTACCATACAGACCTACCATACAACCACCATACTGATACCTCCATACATCCCACCTTTGTCCCTACCAACAGTACCTCCCTTTACAGTACCTACCATACAAAACCACCATACAGACCTACATACAGTACCACCTACGATACCTACATACAGTACCTACCTACGATACCTACCGACAGACCCCCATAATACTACCATACGCCCCTACCATCAGCCCTACCATAATCCCTACCAACAGCCCTCCCAACTGTACCACCATACAGTCCCAAACCATACAGCCCTACCATACTGATACCTCCCATACGCCCTCCCCAACATCCCTCCATACATCCCAAACCATACAGTACCCCCCCTAGATCCCTCCCATACAGTCCCTCCCAACGTACCTACCATACAGCCCCACCATACGATCCCACCATACAGCCCTACCATAAGTACTACCATACAGTACCAACCATATGAACCTACCATATGATACTACCATACTGATACCACAAAAACGTACCTCCCAACATACCACCATACGTCCCTCCCAACGACCAACCATCGTTCCCCCCTAGATACCTCCATACGTACCTACCAACTACCTCCTCCGTACCTACCTACATTTCCCTACCATCAGACCTACCATACTGCCCCTACCTACTGTACCTACCATACAGTACCTACCAAAGCCTACCTACGAAACCCTACCATACAGACCTACCAAAAATTCCCAAACCATACTGATACCCCCAAACTAAACCACCAAAAGTCCTACCATAAAACCCACCACTCCCCTACCATATGATACCCCCAATATGATACCTACCATATATACCACCAACAGTACCTCCCAAAAGTACTACCAACAGTACCCCATACATACCAACCCATCCTACCAAATACTTAACTACCATAGACCCCTACCATACTGATACTACCATACGTACACCAACAGTCCCTACCATACTACCACCATATGATCCCTACCATACAGTCCCCCCCCATACTGATCCAAACCATACAGTCCCTCCCATAGAAATACCTCAGTACCTACCAAGATCCCTACCATACAGCCCCTACCATATAAAACCTACCAACTACCTCCCAAACCCGTCCCCATAAGTCCCTACCAACAGTCCCACCATACTAAACCCTACCATACTGAACCCCCCATACAGTACCTCCATACTGATACCTACCATACAGTCCTACCATACTATACCTACCAACAGTACCTACCAACAAACCTACCATACGTCCCACCATACTGTCCCTACCATACAGTACCTCCCATACGTCCTACCATACTACCTCCCCTATAAACCCTACCATATGATCCCTACCATAAGTACCTACCATACAGACCCCCATATGAACCACCTACAACCTACCATAAAAACCCTACCAACTGTCCCTACCATACAGACCTACCTACTGATACTCCCATCAATACCTACCATACTGATCCTCCCCATACAGTACCTCATACAGAAAACCAACAGTCCCTCCCATACGATCCCCATACAGTACCTACATACTCTCCATACAGTACCAACCAAAAAGATCCCTACCTAGATCCCTACCAAAAAGTCCCTCCCAACAACCACCATACAGTCCAAACCCAATGATCCCTACCAACTGATCCCTACCATCAGTACCTACCATACATACCTACCATACGTACCTACCTAAGTACTCCCATACAGTCCCAACCTACTAAACCCCTCCCATCTGATACCTACCATCAGTCCCTCCCAAAACAGCCCCTAAAGACCTACCATACAAACCCTACCATATGAACCTCCCAACAGCCCCACCATACTGATACCTACCATACAGTCCCTACCATACGATCCCTACCATACATCCCTACCTACTGATACCTACCAACAGCCCCTCCCCTCAGTACCTCCCTTTACGTACCTACCAACAGTACCTACATAGATCCTACCTATGATCCCTACATACGTCCCTACCATACTGAACCTCCATACTACTCCCCAACTGATACCTACCATACAGTACCTACCAAAATGAACCTACCATACTAAAACCCTACCATAATACCACCATAGTATCCCTACGTCCCTACAAAATAAACCTACCAAAACAGTACCTCCCATACTAAAACCTACCATCAGTACCTACCATAGTACCTCCATACAGTCCTCCATCAGTACCTCCCCATACAGTCCCCCTACCATCGATACCTACATACAGTACCTACCATACTGATCCTCCATACATACCACCATACGTACCTACCATACGAAAACTACCTTTACAAACCTCCCATATGATCCCTACCTACAGTACCTACCATCAGTCCCCTCCCATACAGTACCTCCCAACTAAACCCTCCATACAAACCCCCATACAAACCACCAACTGTACCTCCATACTAAACCTACCTACAAACCCTACCATATGATACCTCCATATGATACCAACCATCGATACCCCCCATACAGTACCTACCTACTGATCCCCCTACAGACCTCCCATCGTACCTACCATACTGATACCTACCATATGATACTACCATACGATACCTACCAACATCCCCTACCATACTGAACCTCCCCTACATACCTACCATCAGATACCAACAGCCCTACCATACTGTACTCCCATAAGTACCTACCTAATGATCCCCTACCATACGTACCTACCCATAAGTACCCCCATCATACCTACCATCTGATCCTCCATACAGATACCTACCATACAGTACCTACCATACAGTACCTACCATACTGATACCTACCATACAGTACCTACCATACAGTACCTACCATACTGATACCTACCATACAGATACCTACCATACAGTACCTACCATACAGTACCTACCATACTGATACCTACCATACTGATACCTACCATACTGATACCTACCATACTGATACCTACCATACAGTACCTACCATACTGATACCTACCATACAGTACCTACCATACTGATACCTACCATACAGATACCTACCATACAGTACCTACCATACAGTACTACCATACTGATACCTACCATACAGATACCTACCATACAGATACCTACCATACAGTACCTACCATACTGATACCTACCATACCCAACTCAAACAGTAGAATACGCTTTATTATACTCTTACAAACAAGGGATCCAAGATGGTTCTTTGTTGTCCCCGTAGGAGAACCTTTTTTGGTTCCAGGTAGAACCCATATAAAAAGGGTTCTACATGGAACCCAAAAGAGTTTCTACCTGGAACCAAAAAGGGCTATCCAAAGGGGTTATCCCAAAGGGGTCAGCAGAAGAACCCTTTCAGGTTCTGGATAGAAACTTTTTAGTGTAACTAACCTTATCTTTTTAGAGGAAAGGTGAGACATTGTAGATTAAAAGCTACAACAGAAGGCTATTTTAGTACCTGTGTCATACCTGACTAATACAAAGACCCAGTGGTGTAAAGTACTTAAGTAAAAATAGTTTTTTGGTATTTTTTACCATTTATATTTTTGACAACTTTGACTCTTACCCCACTACATTCCTAAAGAATATATGTACTTTTTACTCCATACATTTACTTGTTACACCAAAAAGTACTTGTTACATTTCGAATGCTCAGGCAGGACATCGATATGGTTCAATACACGCACCTATTAATATAACGCCTGGTCATCCCTACTGCCTCTGATCTGGCGGACTCACTAAACACAAATACTGCGTTTGGAAATTAATCTCCTAGTGTTGGAGTGTGCCTGTCTGGCCGTAAATACATTTAAAAAACAAGAAAATGTGTGCCGTCTGGTTTACTTTAATAATATGGAGTTTGAGGTATAGCATTTACTTTGACCTTTTACTCAAGTTTGACAATTGAGTATTTTTTCCACCACAGAAAGGACCTATGATGTCATAGAGACTGATACCTGCAGTGAAGGTCAGCCCCTCCCAGGTCCTCAGCAGAGACCGTCTCACCTGTCGCTGCTTTTACCTGAAAAAACGACAGCCCATGAGTTCCACCCAGTAGTCACCATACAGCCCGTGAGTTCTACCCAGTAGTCACCATACCGCCAGTAAACGACAGCCCGTGAGTTCTACCCAGTAGTCACCATACCGCCAGTAAACGACAGCCCGTGAGTTCCACCCAGTAGTCACCATACAGCCCATGAGTTCTACCCAGTAGTCACCATAACCGCCAGTAAACGACAGCCCGGAGTTCTACCCAGTAGTCACCCATAACCGCCAGTAAACGACAGCCCGTGAGTTCTACCCAGTAGTCACCATACCGCAGTAAACGACAGCCACGTGAGTTCTACCCAGTAGTCACCATACCGCCAGTAAACGACAGCCCGTGAGTTCCCCACCCAGTCACCATACCGCCAGTAAACGACAGCCCATGAGTTCTACCCAGTAGTCACATACAGCCCATGAGTTCTACCCAGTAGTCACCATACCGCCCAGTAAACGTACAGACCGTGAGTTCTACCCAGTAGTCACCATACAGCCCATGAGTTCTACCCCAGTAGTCACCATACCGCCAGTAAACGACAGCCCGTGAGTTCCACCCAGTAGTCACCATACCGCCAGTAAACGACAGCCCATGAGTTCTACCCAGTAGTCACCCATACAGCCCATGAGTTCCACCCAGTAGTCACCATACCGCCAGTAAACGACAGCCTGTGAGTTCCACCCAGTAGGTCACCATACCGCCAGTTAAACGACAAGCCCATGAGTTCTACCCAGGTAGTCACCATACAGCCCATGAGTTCTACCCAGTAGTCAACCATTACCGCCAGTAAACGACAGCCCGTGAGTTCTACCCAGTAGTCACCATACCGCCAGTAAACGACAGCCCGTGAGTTCCACCCAGTAGTCACCATACCGCCAGTAAACGACAGCCCGTGAGTTCCACCCAGTAGTCACCATACCGCCAGTAAACGACAGCCCGTGAGTTCTACCCAGTAGTCACCATACCGCCAGGTAAACGACAGCCCGTGAGTTCTACCCAGTAGTCACCATACCGCCAGTAAACGACAGCCCGTGAGTTCCACCCAGTAGTCACCATACCGCCAGTAAACGACAGCCCATGAGTTCTACCCAGTAGTCACCATACAGCCCATGAGTTCTACCCAGTAGTCACCATACCGGCAGTAAACGACAGCCCGTGAGTTCTACCCAGTAGTCACCATACCGCCAGTAAACGACAGCCTGTGAGTTCCACCCAGTAGTCACCATACCGCCAGTAAACGACAGCCCATGAGTTCTACCCAGTAGTCACCATACCGCCAGTAAACGACAGCCCATGAGTTCTACCCAGTAGTCACCATACCGCCAGTAAACGACAGCCCATGAGTTCTACCCAGTAGTCACCATACCGCCAGTAAAACGACAGCCCGTGAGTTCTACCCAGTAGTCACCATACCGCCAGTAAACGACAGCCCATGAGTTCCACCCAGTAGTCACCATACCGCCAGTAAACGACAGCCCATGAGTTCTACCCAGTAGTCACCATACCGCCAGTAAACGACAGCCCATGAGTTCCACCCAGTAGTCACCATACCGCCAGTAAACGACAGCCCATGAGTTCTACCCAGTAGTCACCATACAGCCCATGAGTTCCACCCAGTAGTCACCATACCGCCAGTAAACGACAGCCCGTGAGTTCCACCCAGTAGTCACCATACCGCCATGATGGATATCTGTAATAGGGAATCTAGTCCTCACCAGAGGGGGTCCTCCCAGGAAGATGGTTCCTTGTTTCCTGACGATGATGCTCTCGTCAGCCATGGCCGGAACATACGCTCCCCCTGCAGTACACGACCCCATAACCACCGCTATCTGGAATAACACATATACAAACATATATACACTGAACAATATAAATGCAACAATTTCAAAGATTTTACTGAGTTACAGTTCATTTAAGGAAATCAGTCTGAACTCCTCATGAGGGGCCACAGTGACACAGGGGTCTGAACTCATCATGAGGGGCCACAGTGACTCAGGGGTCTGAACTCATCATGAGGGGCCACAGTGACTCAGGGGTCTGAACTCATCATGAGGGGCCACAGTGACTCAGGGGTCTGAACTCATCATGAGGGGCCACAGTGACTCAGGGGTCTGAACTCATCATGAGGGGCCACAGTGACACATGCAGTCAGAGCCGGGTCTTGCGAGCAAAACATTTACCTAGTCCCACTGTGTCCTGGGGGGGGGGGGGGGGGTACCTAGTCCCACTGTGTCACAACATACATAACATGGGCACACATCTATACTGATTTTACATTTACATTTTAGTCATTTAGCAGACGCTCTTTTTCAGAGATGATGCCACACACACTTTCACACTCATCACGGAGTATTAAAAAAACAACATTAAGGACACCTCCTCTTTCCATGACATAGACTGACCAGGTGAATCCAGGTGAAAGCTATGATCCCTTATTGATGTCACCTGTTAAATCCACTTCAATCAGTGTAGATGAAGGCGAGGAGACAGGTTATAGAAGGATTTTTAAACCTTGAGACAATTGAGACATGGATTGTGTATGTGTGCCATTCAGAGGGTGAATGGGCAAGACAAAATATTTAAGTGCCTTTGAACGGGGTATGGTAGTAGGTGCCAGGCGCACCGGTTTGAGTGTGTCAAGAACTGCAACGCTGCTGGGTTTTTCACTCTCAACAGTTTCCCGTGTGTATCAAGAATGGTCCACCACCCAACGGACATCCAGCCAACTTGACACAACTGTGGGAAGCATTGGAGTCAACATGGGCCAGCATCCCAGTGAAACGCTTTCGACACCTTGAGTCCATGACCCAACAAATTGAGGCTGTTCTGAGGGCTAAAACGGGGGGGGGGGGGGGGGGGGGGGGGGGGGGGGGGGGGGGTGTTCTTAATGTTTTGTCCACTCAGTGTATATCTCCATGACCTAAATGTTAGAATCTTCAGTGAAATGTGTTTGTAGTTAATATTAAGTTTACCCTATATTTTTCTGTCTTGGCTCGTAGAATCAGAATGTGTAACAGGATTATGGGTAGTGATGGGGGGGGATCAGAATGTGTAACAGGATTATGGGTAGTGATGGGGGGGGATCAGAATGTGTAACAGGATTATGGGTAGTGATGGGGGGGGGGTCAGAATGTGTAACAGGATTATGGGTAGTGATGGGGGGGGGATCAGAATGTGTAACAGGATTATGGGTAGTGATGGGGGGGGGATCAGAATGTGTAACAGGATTATGGGTAGTGATGGGGGGGGGGGGTCAGAATGTGTATTGCCAGGGACCTCACGATACAATATCAAATCATAAATCAAATCAAATTTGATTTGTCACATGCGCCGAATACAACAGGTGGTAGACCTTACAGTGAAACGCCTACGAGCTTGTTGTTGTATTCGGCGCATGTGACAAATAAAACTTGATTTGATTTTGGATTTGATATTGTATCGTGAGGTCCCTGGCAATTCCCAGCACTAATTATGGGTCAGACACTACTGACCTGTGGAAACACGCTGTCGTCTAGCTAGATGTGTAGACTCCCTCCCCACCGGAGACCGGGGTTCAATCCCCACTCCAACCCTTCAAATCGGTTTCTCCCATATCATTTCCTCTGTCTAAATAATGTATGTCTAAATATACCCTAAAAAAATATATTTACAAAAGATACACATTTAGCTGTGTTATTCATTACCTGTGATATTCCGTCTGAGGAGAGGCGAGCCTGGTTGAAGAAGATCCGTCCAAAGTGTTCTCTGTCTGGGAAGACCTCAGCCTGTCTGGGGAGGTTGGCTCCTCCGGAGTCCACTACAGAGGCAAACACACGATCACAAATCAACCCCTAGTCCCTGACTCCTTACCCCTACCCGCTCCTGAGGCCACTACAGGAGACAACCACTGGGAGAATGTTACATAATGCATCTACATTGATAACACTGACCAATGTTGTCACTTTTCACACAGCGATCCCGACGCTGCCACCAGTGTAGCCAATGAATGAGGGCACTCACCCAGGTATATACATGGCAGGTGGTTCTGCTGCGCTATCTCCTGTGCTCGGAGATGCTTCTTGACCGTGACTGGGTAGTAGGTGCCTCCTTTCACGGTGGCGTCGTTAGCAACTATAACACACTCCACGCTGGAGGGAATGTGGCAGACGACCAGTCAGATGCCATTCAAAATGCAGAAGGTTGTACTGAGTAAATAAGAATGTGAAACGTACTGCTAGAACAACAGACAGACTGTGAGATAGACAATGCCAAGTCTGAAACCCACGGGGGGGCCAGTATGAAAAATGTATGCACTCACTAAAACTGTAAGTCCCTCTGGATAAGAGCGTCTGCTAAATGACTAAAATGTAAATGTATAGTACTCTACAATGTTTACAATACTCTACAGTACTATTTAGTACTATTCAGTACTCTACAATGTTTACAGTACTCTACAGTACTCTACAATGTTTACAGTACTCTACAGTACTATTTAGTACTCTTCAGTACTCTACAATGTTTACAGTACTCTACTGCACTCTTTAGTACTCTTCAGTACTCTACAATGTTTACAGTACTCTACTGCACTCTTTAGTACTCTTCAGTACTCTACAATGTTTACAGTACTCTACTGCACTCTTTAGTACTCTACAATGTTTACAGTACTCTACAATGTTTACAGTACTCTATAGTACTATGCAGTGTCTACAGTACTCTACAATGTTTACAGTACTATATAGTACTCTACAGTGTTTACAGTACTATTTAGTACTCTTCAGTACTCTACAATGTTTACAGTACTCTACAATGTTTACAGTACTCTATAGTACTCTACAGTACTCTACAATGTTTACAGTACTCTACAGTATTCTACAGTACTCTACACACCCTGAGACTCTGCCAATCCCTGTGATGATGCCTCCTGCTGGAACCTCTTCTTTCCCATAGAGCTCATATGCTGCAAACTGGGAGAATTCCAGGAACGGAGACCTGCCGAGAGAAACCCAATAAAGGAACATAAAGGAACCCTCAGACCTAGAAACGCTACAGAGGATAAATCTACCAATTAGGTGTTCAGAGAAAAGTCATGTGTGTTTACCCTGGGTCCAGCAGTCTGTCTATGCGTTCTCTGGGGAGGAGCTTCCCTCTGGAGATGTGCAGCTTTCTGGCCCGCTCTCCCCCACCTGGCTCAACACAACACGTTATCAGACAGGCTGGTCAAAACCGGACATTCCTACATCCGTTAACGTTCAGAAGAGTTTTCACATTGTGAAGGTGCCAACTTAACTTACCCAATTTGATTTTCTCCGATCTGCCTTTCAACTCATCAACAAGGACTTGCATTCGTTCATAGTTTTCCTGAAAAGAGAGGTATCATAATGTCAAACGCGTAGAGTAGAGCAGGTTACAGAGCAGGTTACAGAGCAGGTTATAACCCAGGCAAGGACTAGCTAGTATCCTCTGAGTCAGGCCATTACTCTGTTTGGCTTAGCACAGAGAATTGAACCAACCTTAACTTGGCGATACCTCCTCAATTCCCGACTTGGAAGACAACCAATGTCTTCTACGTCCATGTTTAGTTGCAGGGGGTTTGTTTGAATTTAGAAAAAAAAACGTTATTAAATGAAATAAATGTGTTGCTGCCATCAAGTCTATTTCAAATCGTCTCTCATTGATAGTGCCTGGACACTATAGGGTATAAATATAGCACTGTAATGAAAAACTATTCTTTGTGCCGATGTAAAAGTATTGTAGGGAGTACATTTTTTACATGACCAAAAGTATGTGGACACCTGCTTGTCGAACATCTCATTCCAAAATCATGGGAATTAATATGGACTTGGTCCCCCCCCCCTTTGCTGCTATAACAGCCTCCACTCTTCTGGGAAGGCTTTCCACTAGATGTTGGAACATTGCTGCGGGGGACTTGCTTCCATTCAGCCACAAGAGCGTTAGTGAGGTTGGGACCTGATGTTTGGCGATTAGGCCTGGCTCGCAGTCGGCGTTCCAATTCATCCCAAAGGTGTTCGATGGGGTTGAGGTCAGGGCTCTGTGCAGGCCAGTCAAGTTCTTCCACACCTATCTTGACAAACCGTTTCTGTATAGACCTCACTTTGTGCACGGGGGCATTCCCATGTTGAAACAGAAAAGGGCCTTCCCCAAACTGTTGCCACAAAGTTGGAAGCACAGAATCATCTAGAATGTCATTGTATGATGTAGCGTTAAGATTTGCCTTCACTGGAACTAAAGGGGCCTAGCCCGAACCATGAAAAACAGCCCCAGACCATTATTCTTCCTCCACCAAACTTTACAGTTGGCACTATGCATTTGGGCAGGTAGCGTTCTCCTGGCATCCGCCAAACCCAGATTCATCTGTCGGACTGCCAGATGGTGAAGTGTGATTAATCACTCCAGAGAACACATTTCCACTGCTCCAGAGTCCAATGGCGGTGAGCTTTACACCACTCCAGCCGACGCTTGGCATTGTGAATGGTGATCTTAGGCTTGTGTGCGGCTGCTCGGCCTTGGAAACCCATTTCATGAAGCTCCTGATGAACAGTTATTGTGCTGACGTTGCTTCCAGAGGCAGTTTGGAACTCGGTAGTGAGTGTTGCAACCGAGGACAGACAATTTTTACGCGCTGTGCGCTTCAGTACTCTGCAATCCTGTTCTGTGAGCTTGTGTGGCCTACCACTTCGCAGCTGAGCCGTTGTTGCTCCTAGACGTTTCCACTTCACAATAACAGCACTTACAGTTGACCTGGGCAGCTCTAGCAGGGCAGAAATTTGACAAACTGACTTGTTGGAAAGGTGGACGGTGCCACGTTGAAAGTCACTGAGCTCTTCAGTACGGGCCATTCTACTGCCAATGATTGTCTATGGAGATTGCATGGCTGTGTGCTCGATTTTATACACCTGTCAGCAACGGGTGTGGCTGAAATAGCCGAATCCACTAATTTGAAGGGGTGTCCACATACTTTCTTATATATAGTGTATGACCTAGCTTTTTGTTCAAACTCACCTGTTTTGTATTCTAGGGACTCTAGTGAGTAGACTGGAACCTAGTTTTATGGACACACAATCCATCATTTTTCATTACAGTGCTATATTTGTACCATATAGTGCCCAGGCACACCACTTTAAGCTGTTTAGCCACAGTAAAAGGCCAGCAACACTCTGTATTTTTCAGAACCCCATGAAATGACACCATATATACATTATATAGACCCTACTGAGTATTCCCTACATTACTGTTACTGCGCCACCTAGAATAATTGTTGTTATATAAGCCAAGAATATGTAGCTCAGCTGGTAGAGCACGGCGCTTGTAACGCCAAGGTAGTGGGTTCGATCCCCGGGACCACCCATACACAAAAAATGTATGCACGCATGACTGTAAGTCGCTTTGGATAAAAGCGTCTGCTAAATGGCATATTATTATTATTATTATTTCATATTCAGTGATTTGCATTGGGGTCATTTATTTGGCCTTGGAACATGTTTTAAACCCCACATTTTATGCAAATGTAACTTTAATATTAATCCCTGTTAATGTTTAGACACATTTTTGTTCATATATTATGAATAAATACAGGTTATTGACACTTTTCTACTATTACGTGGGGAACTTTTATTTTGAACATTTCCGAAATTCTGTGACCCGGAAGTACCTTTCTAAGCGTTGCTGACGACACGCTGATGTCTGATCAATGCATTTGCCCTTCTCGATGGCTTGCTACCGTTAGCAAGCCCTGATTAATTGCAATACATGTTAGCTAGCTGGTGGTACAGGGGTTGTAACGTACTGCAAGCAACTGACAATGAGCCATCTAGCATTACACTTATTGAGAGTCATTCAGTTCCAAGGGCAGTCCGAGCTAGCAGCGTCTCACAATGCTAACTTAGCCCAATGCTTGGCCCATCGTCCTCCCACTTACCGCAAACTCCGCGGACTGTGTGTCAGGCTGTGTACCGACGGCTGCGACTCTGTCGCCGTGGTATAGTCGTGTGGTTGCTACTGGCAATCCTCTGCAACGAAGCAGCGACAGCCATGGCCTGAAAGTCTGAAGAAGCATGTTTTTACAGCTAGCTAACTAACTACCTAGCTAGCAACTCCGCAGAGATATTTGTTGTTGCTCGACCCAGGCGCAGTGGTCAACCAAAGTCTGGTCATTTACCGCCGCCTACTGGATGGGGGTGGAAAATGAAACGTAACAAAACAACAAACTAATTAATTGACCAAAACAAATCACATTCAACCTTGCCAATTTCATTTGTATGTATTCTTATTCTTATCCCTGACCTTTTTCTTATTTTTCCCGTTCTGTTTTGAAGTGGACATACAGGGACCAGGGACAGTCCCCTATTTTGACCACTAGGTGTCATCTGAGCGCCACTAGAAAATGTTGTGAGTCCGCCTAACCACTAGACGGCGATATTTCCATAATCCATAACGCAGCTGGAGAAATACTCATTTTGTTGACTACAATTCACTTTGACCTTTTGACAAACTACTGTCCTTGGCCAGCGTGTGTTTTCTTGCCGTAAAGAGGAGCTTATAGACCCGCACCGTTCAATTTCTTTAAGTGTTGCAATTACTGCGGTGAACGTGGGTTTTGTACTTCTGTCAAACCGGTTCGTCACATTTGAAGTCGGAGCATTGCTCAATAACAGGTTTGATAAGATGTCTGGGAACTGTAGGTCCTTGTTGTTTGCCTTACGTCGCTCTGTGGTGGGGAGACAGGCGTCCAAGAGCCTGCTGTCGCAGAGTAGTGCCGCAGGGACGGAGCGATGTGGCCGTCCGCGGTTCCATCACCAGTGGACCGCCCCACTGAAACCCCGGCTTAACAGCCTCTACACACTGCAGTCCCAACACGGGCTACACTCAGAGGTTGGTGTCTGTGTGCTGCTGCTACTCGTTGTATGAAAATGTATCCTGCTGTCAGTCCATTTTATATGGTAGAAATATAGATATGAATGTCATAACTTAAACCTATATCCCTGTTGTGCAATAGGCAGAGGCCCCCGTCAAAGATGATGACTACCCACCTCTACCAGACTACAACTCTAACCCAGGGCCGGAGAAGAAGGAGGTTTTTATCATCAGAGCTAAAGGACTTCCGTGGTCCTGTACCACTGACGATCTCATGCAGTTCTTCTCTGGTAAGCCCTCCGGACAGCGCTGTTCAGAACATGCTCATAAAACTCAAGGGGCCGGTTTCCCAGATACAGATTAAGCCTAGTCGAGATTCTCAGTTGAGCATGTTTTTTAACTCCAGAACTAGGCTTAATCTGTGTCCGGGAAACCGGCCCGAAGGAATCGCGTCATTATTGTAGAAAAGACGGAGACGTGCCAGCTTGTCAGACCACGGTTGTTGCTGCTTCCTTGCAGAGGACTCCTATTACCCAGAAACCACAGGGAAAGAGCAGTTGTTACCGGAGCCTCTTACTATGTGGTCTATCATGGCTTCATGTCATTTCCTTTGTTGAGTAAAGCTCCTGACTGTTATCCTCTGTTTCCCCCACCGTGTCCTCCCAGAGTGCTGGCCTGCTGTTATCCTCTGTTTCCCCCACCGTGTCCTCCCAGAGTGCTGGCCTGCTGTTATCCTCTGTTTCCCCCACCGTGTCCTCCCAGAGTGCTGGCCTGCTGTTATCCTCTGTTTCCCCCACCGTGTCCTCCCAGAGTGCTGGCCTGCTGTTATCCTCTGTTTCCCCCACCGTGTCCTCCCAGAGTGCTGGCCTGCTGTTATCCTCTGTTTCCCCCACCGTGTCCTCCCAGAGTGCTGGCCTGCTGTTATCCTCTGTTTCCCCCACCGTGTCCTCCCAGAGTGCTGGCCTGCTGTTATCCTCTGTTTCCCCCACCGTGTCCTCCCAGAGTGCTGGCCTGCTGTTATCCTCTGTTTCCCCCACCGTGTCCTCCCAGAGTGCTGGCCTGCTGTTATCCTCTGTTTCCCCCACCGTGTCCTCCCAGAGTGCTGGCCTGCTGTTATCCTCTGTTTCCCCCACCGTGTCCTCCCAGAGTGCTGGCCTGCTGTTATCCTCTGTTTCCCCCACCGTGTCCTCCCAGAGTGCTGGCCTGCTGTTATCCTCTGTTTCCCCCACCGTGTCCTCCCAGAGTGCTGGCCTGCTGTTATCCTCTGTTTCCCCCACCGTGTCCTCCCAGAGTGCTGGCCTGCTGTTATCCTCTGTTTCCCCCACCGTGTCCTCCCAGAGTGCTGGCCTGCTGTTATCCTCTGTTTCCCCCACCGTGTCCTCCCAGAGTGCTGGCCTGCTGTTATCCTCTGTTTCCCCCACCGTGTCCTCCCAGAGTGCTGGCCTGCTGTTATCCTCTGTTTCCCCCACCGTGTCCTCCCAGAGTGCTGGCCTGCTGTTATCCTCTGTTTCCCCCACCGTGTCCTCCCAGAGTGCTGGCCTGCTGTTATCCTCTGTTTCCCCCACGTGTCCTCCCAGAGTGCTGGCCTGCTGTTATCCTCTGTTTCCCCCACCGTGTCCTCCCAGAGTGCTGGCCTGCTGTTATCCTCTGTTTCCCCCACCGTGTCCTCCCAGAGTGCTGGCCTGCTGTTATCCTCTGTTTCCCCCACCGTGTCCTCCCAGAGTGCTGGTCTGCCTGGTCCTAATGTCATTGCTTCACATGAGAGATTCATCTTTCATTTTATCCCCAATTTTCCTATAAAAAAATGACGGTAGTAAATGTTAGAAATGTCTACACTTAAGATTGTAGTGGGCTTAATAGGTACGTTTACTTCTCACTGTCCAGAGTGCCGTGTGCGTGACGGTGTGAAGGGGATCCACCTGACGGTGAACCGGGACGGGAAGCCCAACGGCCAGGCCTTTATAGAGCTGGAGCATGAAGAGGACGTCTGCAAGGCCCTGGAGAAACACAGACAGTACCTGGGACCGCGCTATATAGAAGGTACTATAGACAGACAGGACCAGGCTATATAGAAGGTACTATAGACAGACAGGACCAGGCTATATAGAAGGTACTATAGACAGACAGGACCAGGGACCAGGCTATATAGAAGGTACTATAGACAGACAGGACCTGGGACCAGGCTATATAGAAGGTACTATAGACAGACCAGGACCTGGGACCAGGCTATATAGAAGGTACTATAGACAGACAGGACCAGGCTATATAGAAGGTACTATAGACAGACAGGACCAGGCTATATAGAAGGTACTATAGACAGACAGGACCAGGGACCAGGCTATATAGAAGGTACTATAGACAGACAGGACCTGGGACCAGGCTATATAGAAGGTACTATAGACAGACAGGACCAGGCTATATAGAAGGTACTATAGACAGACAGGACCAGGCTATATAGAAGGTACTATAGACAGACAGTACCTGGGACCAGGCTATATAGAAGGTACTATAGACAGACAGGACCAGGGACCAGGCTATATAGAAGGTACTATAGACAGACAGGACCTGGGACCAGGCTATATAGAAGGTACTATAGACAGACAGGACCTGGGACCAGGCTATATAGAATGTACTATAGACAGACAGGACCTGGGACCAGGCTATATAGAAGGTACTATAGACAGACAGGACCTGGGACCAGGCTATATAGAAGGTACTATAGACAGACAGGACCTGGGACCAGGCTATATAGAAGGTACTATAGACAGACAGGACCTGGGACCAGGCTATATAGAAGGTACTATAGACAGACAGGACCTGGGACCAGGCTATATAGAAGGTACTATAGACAGACAGGACCTGGGACCAGGCTATATAGAAGGTACTATAGACAGACAGGACCTGGGACCAGGCTATATAGAAGGTACTATAGACAGACAGGACCTGGGACCAGGCTATATAGAAGGTACTATAGACAGACAGGACCAGGCTATATAGAAGGTACTATAGACAGACAGGACCTGGGACCAGGCTATATAGAAGGTACTATAGACAGACAGGACCAGGCTATATAGAAGGTACTATAGACAGACAGGACCAGGCTATATAGAAGGTACTATAGACAGACAGGACCAGGCTATATAGAAGGTACTATAGACAGACAGGACCTGGGACCAGGCTATATAGAAGGTACTATAGACAGACAGGACCTGGGACCAGGCTATATAGAAGGTACTATAGACAGACAGGACCTGGGACCAGGCTATATAGAAGGTACTATAGACAGACAGGACCAGGCTATATAGAAGGTACTATAGACAGACAGGACCTGGGACCAGGCTATATAGAAGGTACTATAGACAGACAGGACCTGGGACCAGGCTATATAGAAGGTACTATAGACAGACAGGACCTGGGACCAGGCTATATAGAAGGTACTATAGACAGACAGGACCTGGGACCAGGCTATATAGAAGGTACTATAGACAGACAGGACCTGGGACCAGGCTATATAGAAGGTACTATAGACAGACAGGACCTGGGACCAGGCTATATAGAAGGTACTATAGACAGACAGGACCTGGGACCAGGCTATATAGAAGGTACTATAGACAGACAGGACCTGGGACCAGGCTATATAGAAGGTACTATAGACAGACAGGAACCGGGACCAGGCTATATAGAAGGTACTATAGACAGACAGGACCTGGGACCAGGCTATATAGAAGGTACTATAGACAGACAGGACCTGGGACCAGGCTATATAGAAGTGTACTATAGACAGACAGGACCTGGGACCAGGCTATATAGAAGGTACTATAGACAGACAGGACCTGGGACCCAGGCTATATAGAAGGTCCTATAGACAGACAGGACCTGGGACCAGGCTATATAGAAGGTACTATAGACAGACAGGACCTGGGACCAGGCTATATAGAAGGTACTATAGACAGACAGGACCTGGGACCAGGCTATATAGAAGGTACTATAGACAGACAGGACCTGGGACCAGGCTATATAGAAGGTACTATAGACAGACAGGACCTGGGACCAGGCTAATGAAGCTATATAGACAGGACCTGGACCAGGCTATATAAGGTACTAGACAGACAGGACCAGGCTATATAGAAGGTACTATAGACAGACAGGACCAGGGACCAGGCTATATAGAAGGTACTATAGACAGACAGGACCTGGGACCAGGCTATATAGAAGGTACTATAGACAGACAGTACCTGGGACCAGGCTATATAGAAGGTACTATAGACAGACAGGACCTGGGACCAGGCTATATAGAAGGTACTATAGACAGACAGTACCTGGGACCAGGCTATATAGAAGGTACTATAGACAGACAGGACCTGGGACCAGGCTATATAGAAGGTACTATAGACAGACAGGACCTGGGACCAGGCTATATAGAAGGTACTATAGACAGACAGGACCTGGGACCAGGCTATATAGAAGGTACTATAGACAGACAGGACCTGGGACCAGGCTATATAGAAGGTACTATAGACAGACAGGACCTGGGACCAGGCTATATAGAAGGTACTATAGACAGACAGGACCTGGGACCAGGCTATATAGAAGGTACTATAGACAGACAGGACCTGGGACCAGGCTATATAGAAGGTACTATATATATATATATCTTCTTCTCCTGCAGTGTTTGAGGTGACCAACAGCGATGCCGAGGCCATCTTGAAGAAGTCCGTTCAGCTCCCAGCCAGAGACGGAGTGGTGCGGATCAGAGGTCTCCCCTACAGCTGCTCCGAGACTGACGTCCTGCTCTTCTTCTCTGGTAGGACACCGTTAACAACAGGCCTCGTTAAAACACTCTACCTTAACAGATTTGGTTGTTGTGTTATGCCCTTCCTGGTCGGGTTTCATACTGTAAGGGATGTAGCCAACTCTTCTTGTAGGGCATGTCAATCATAAAATAGTTGGTTTCAGCACATTAAATCATATTTTCTTGTTAACATACACATATATAGCAGATATTATTGCGGGTGTAGCGAAATGCTTGTGTTCCTAGCTCCAACAGTGCAGTAGTATCTAACAATTCACAACAATACACACATCTAAAAGCAGGGACGGCTTGTTCAATAGGGCGATATGGGCGACGCACTGCCAAACGGGAAAAGGAAGGGATTTTTTTCTAATCAATTATATCACGGCAACAGCAGTTATCAGTGTTCACGTCTGATCTGCCAGCCACTAAATGTCAAATCAGGCTAAAGTCGTGCTTCAAATGGCCCCGCCCGTTTTTTGGGCGATTTCAGTCAGGTTGAAAATCGCCCAGAAGTCTCTCATAGCCTGTCATGTAAAATCTATTTTTTTCACATTTCAAAGCTTTCAATACATTCTCTATGGGTGTCTGTGGGCATGCACTTACGCGCTTTCGTCATACGTGACGTAACGTTGAACGTAACTAAGACAATGGCGGCTTGCAGCGTCTATGTTGCGACCTGCAGTGTGGCGTTATTTAATGTTTTTAATTTGTAGACTTAGTTTACAAACATTCTGCAAACATTCTGCTTTGGACTGATCTTCGGTTTTGGACTGATCTTGTTGATCGTGTACATACCCGCTACGAACGGACTAAATAATGAAAACGCTGCTGGCAGCGGAATCCCAATACAGCTGGGAGACTTGGCTGGATGACAGAGTCCCGGACAGAGAGGTGGAGCCGGCCGGCTTCACCCTGGTCAGAGCGGACCGCGATCCTGGTAAGAGAGCGACTCTGTACCCCGACATTGAACTGCTTTCTGTGTCATTGAACCTTACTATTGTTGATAAAACAAGTTTACTGGAGAACGGAGACCAAGTAGAGACTTTTGGACAAGGTGGATAATTGTATAATATAAGGCAGTTTATTCAGAGGTAAAGATATCTGGAATCGCGTGCACGGACCCGTTCGTCAAACTCGTAGGGAGTTTATCAGAAGAGCCCCTAAACATTGTGTGCTGACATTTTATACAATAAAATGAAGTAGGTTGAATCTAGTAGTTCTGATCTTCTGATTGGTCCTGATGAGTTGGGCGAGGTCACCTCCAGGCTAGTGTCACTGTTGCATTGGCTCTGAGTCGGGTTCTCTGTCTTCAGATGTTCAGCCTAAGAGAAGAGGATTTGTGTGTGTGTGTGTGTGTTTGTTATCAGTGTGTGTGTGTGTGTGTGTGTGTTTGTTATCAGTGATGATGTGTGTGTGTGTGTGTGTGTGTGTGTGTGTGTGTGTTTATCAGTGATGATGTGTGTGTGTGTGTGTGTGTGGGGGTGTGTGTGTGTGTGTCCTCAGGGCAAGAACTCGTGAGTTGGAAGAACTGAGAGACCTATGGCGTGGGTGTTATCCTTAGCCACCTGCTGACAAGGCTGACAAGATAGGACTCTTGTTCATTGTATTGAATACAAAGGCCCAACACAAAATGGGTCATGCACAAGATTTTAGTCAGACCAAGCTATAACATTATATATTTACTACGACAGTACATTCAACCAAAAGCTAATATAACAAAGGCATCAGAGATTATTTATAATCTGTCACAGAAACTGGAATCCATCTCCCCAGATCAGTCAATAAATGCTTCTGGTATTGACTTATATGCTGCCCCTGTCTTCATATGTTGTTGCTGGACATATCTTTTTTTAAATGTGTGTAGGTCACCTAAATCATCAGAAAAATTGCCCCTCCTGAGAATTTTTTCAGGAGCCGCCACTGTCTAAAAGTAAAAGAATGGAATGAATACAGTATGGAAACAGGGGGATGAACCAACCAATCATGTCCCAGGTTCTGAAGCTGCTCCTTCTGTCTCCTTTCAGGTCTGGATGTGGTGGACGATGGGGTCACTCTAGTAACGGACCACAGGGGGAGGAACTCAGGGGAGGCCTATGTCCAGTTCCTAACCCAGGAGCAGGCTGACAAGGCCCTGACCAGAGACAGAGAAGTCATCGGAAACAGGTAGGAACACTCATCACTTTAACCCCCTGGAGTTGATTTCCGCTTAAATCTAATTAGCATAATACAAAAAAAAATCCCCATTAAAATATTTCCAGTTTAAGATAGAGATATACTACATGACCAAAAGTATGTGGACACCTGCTCGTCCAACATCTCATTCCAAAATCATGGTCATTAATATGGAGTTGGTCCCCCCTTTGCTGCTATAACAGCCTCCACTCTTCTGGGAAAAAAGCGTGTGCGAGCAAGGAGGCCAACAAACCTGACTCAGTTACACCAGCTCTGTCAGGAGGAATGGGCCAAAATTCACCCAACTTATTGTGGAAGGCTACCCGAAATGTTTGACCCAAGTTAAACAATTTAAAGGCAATGCTACCAAATACTAATTGAGTGTATGTAAACTTCTGACCCACTGGGAATGTGATGAAAGAAATAAAAGCTGAAATAAATCATTCTCTCTACTATTATTCTGACATTTCACATTCTTAAATTAAAGTGGTGATCCTAACTGGCCTAAAACAGGGAATTTTTACTAGGATTAAATGTCAGGAATTGTGAAAAACTGAGTTTAAATGTATTTGGCTAAGGTTTATGTAAACGTCCGACTTCAACTGTATATATTTTTTGTTGTTGTGATTTTTACCCCCTTCTCTCCCCAATTTCGTAATTACGATCTAACTAACCCTCTCATCCCTGCAACTCCCCAACGGGCTCGGGAGAGGCGAAGGTCAAGTCACGCGTCCTCCGAAACATGACCCGCCAAGCCACGCTTCTTAACACCCGTTCCCTTAATCCGGAAGCCAGCTGCACCAATGTGTCGGAGGAAACACTGTTCAACTGACGACCGAAGTCAGCTTGCAGGCGCCCGGCCCGCCACAAGGAGTCGCTAGAGCGCGATGAGCAAAGTAAAGCCCCCCCGGCCAAACCCTCCCCTAACCCAGACGACGCTGGGCCAAACCCTCCCCTAACCCAGACGACGCTGGGCCAAACCCTCCCCTAACCCAGACGACGCTGGGCCAATTGTGCGCCGCCCTATGGGACTCCCGGTCACGGCCGGTAATGACACAAGCTGAAGCGACGCCGCAACACTGATTAATTAATTAATTGATGAGCAGCGATGCAGTGCCTTAGACCGAGGCGCCCCTCGGGAGGCCCATCAAATATTTGTTGATACTTCAAGGGGTCTTAAAATTCCAAATCAAATAGTTAAATGATCCTTGGTATGACCTTCTTAAAACAATTCCATTTGTTAGCTTAATATAACCCCCCCCCCACTCTACAGGGCTTAGACTGTAGAAGGTTCAGAACTCAGAACATTCAACAGCTTTCAATGGATTCCATTTGCTTTCTTGTTTATCAATAAATCCAGGTTCAGTTCAGTGCTGCCACTAGACTCTTTAGCAACGGATCCTCCGACCTTGACCTTTACCCATGATCATGTCTTGACCGTGTCCTGACCATGTGACCGTGTCATCAGGTACATCGAGGTGTTCCCCAGTAGGAGGAGTGAGGTTGGAGGTCGGAAGAAGACAGAGTCTGTTGAGGAGGGCAGAGACTCCAGACGGAGTCAACCAGACAGGCCTGCAGCACAGCCCCCCAGACATGGTGAGACAGACAGACAGACAGACAGACAGACAGACAGACCTGCAGCACAGCCCCCCAGACATGGTGAGACAGACAGACAGACAGACAGACAGGCCTGCAGCACAGCCCCCCCAGACATGGAGAGACAGACAGACAGACAGGCCTGAAGCACAGCCCCCCCAGACATGGAGAGACAGACAGACAGACAGACCTGCAGCACAGCCCCCCAGACATGGAGAGACAGACAGACAGACAGGCCTGAAGCACAGCCCCCCAGTCATGGTGAGACAGACAGACAGACAGACAGACAGACAGACAGACAGACAGGCAGGCAGGCCTGCAGCACAGCCCCCCAGACATGGAGAGACAGACAGACAGACAGACAGACAGACAGGCCTGCATCACAGCCCCCCCCCAGACATGGAGAGACCCACTGTTTTCTTAAAATGTATAGTGTCATGTCGTTTATCATTGATTGGACTGGAGGGGTAGATGTATAGATGGATGTTCCATGGTTGTTGTTTGTTTCAGGGTCTCGTCAGGTATCTTCTATGTCCGAACACTCTGTTCACATGAGAGGACTGCCCTTCCAAGCCACAGGAGATGACATCGTTCAGGTATTATTAGCATGGTTTCCACTACCGGGCTGTCTCAGAGCGAGACCGTGCTAACTAGCATCAGAGGAGTTTGAACAAACATTGCCTTTCTGTAACACTCAAGATTCAGAACTTTGATCAGTGTTCTGTCAGTTCTCTCCTCTAGCGCTGTCTGGGATTCTGGTCGAGTTCGGTCCAGACGGGAGGGCCAGCGGAGAGGCTGACGTGTACTTCACATCACACCAAGACGCCGTCTCAGCCATGACCCGGGACAAGGCACACATGCGTACGTCTGTCTATATAAATGACTGATTGTCTATACTCTATACAGTGGATTCTGAAAGTATTCAGACCCCTTTACTTTTTCCACATTCTGTTACGTTACAGCCTTATTCTAAAATGGATTAAATGAATAAAAATCCTCATCAATCTACACACAATACCCCATAATCACAAAGAGAAAACTGGTTTTAAGACATTTTAGCAAATGTTTTCAAAATAAGAAAACATAAATCCCTTATTTCCATAAGTATTCAGACCCTTTGCTATGAGACTTGAAATTGAGCTCAGGTGCATCCTGTTTCCATTGATCATCCTTGAGATGTTTCTACAACTTGATTGGAGTCCAAATGTGGTAAATTCAATTGATTGGGCATGATTTGGAAAGGCACACACCTGTCTATATAAGGTCCCACAGTTGACAGTGCATGTCAGAGCAAAAACCAAGCCATGAGGTCGAAGGAATTGTCCGTAGAGCTCCGAGACAGGATTGTGTCGAGGCACAGATCTGGAGAAGGGTACCAAAACATTTCTGCAGCATTGAAGGTCCCCAAGAACACAGTGGCCTCCATCATTCTTAAATGGAAGATGTTTGGAACCACTAAGACTCTTCCTAGAGCTGGCCGCCCGGCCAAACTGAGCAATCGGGGGAGAAGGGACTGGGTCAGGGAGGTGACCAAGAACCCGATGGTCACTCTGACAGAACTCCAGAGTTCCTATGTGGAGATGGGAGAACCTTCCAGAAGGACAACCATCTCTGCAGCACTCCAGCAATCAGGCCTTTATGGTAGAGTGGCCAGACAGAAGCCACTCCTCAGTGAAAGGCACATGACAGCCCGCTTGGAGTTTGCCAAAGGGCACCTAAAGACTCACAGACCATGAGAAACAAGATTCTCTGGTCTGATGAAACCAAGATTGAACTCTTTGGCCGAATACCAAGCTTCATGTCTGGAGGAAACCTGGCACCATCCCTACGGTGAAGCATGGTGGTGGTTCCAACAGGACAACAACCCTAAGCACACAGCCAAGACAAGCAGGAGTGGCTTCGGGACAAGTCTCTGAATGTCCTTGAGTGGCCCAGCCAGAGCCTGGACTTGAACCCGGTCGAACATCTCTGGAGCGACCTGATAATAGCTGTGCAGCAACGCTCCCCATCCAACCTGACAGAGCTTGAGAGGATCTGCAGAGAAGAATGGGAGAAACTCCCCAAATACAGGTGTGCCAAGCTTGTAGCGTCATACCCAAGAAGACTCGAGGCTGTAATCGCTGCCAAAGGTGCTTCAAAAAGTACTGAGTAAAGGGTCTGAATAGTTATATAAATGTTCTATTTCAGTTTTTATTTGCAATACATTTACAAACATTTCTAAAAACCTGTTTTTGCGTTGTCATTATGGGGTATTGTGTGTAGATTAAGGGGGGGAACAAAATAATTTAATCAATTTTAGAATAAGGCTGTAACGTAACAAAATGTGTAAAAAGTCAAGGGGTCTGAATACCTTCTGAATGCACTGTATAATCCTGTATACTCCTAGAAGCAGAATGTCACCCTGAACTAGGGTGACCACATGTCCTGGATAATTGCGGAACAGTCCCCCATTTTCGCCCCTTTGTCTGATATTCTGAGCAGTGTCATATCGTCAACCAATCACATTTGTCAAATCCTTTCGGGCTAAACTTGCAGAGGTCAGTGGGTAAATTAGCCTTCTAACGACAAGCTACAGGAGTAACTAAACAGCCGTATTAGACTGAAAGATAATTTAGTCCAATTTGTGAGGCTCTCTATGCTCATTAGTTGCTCATTCAACATATTTGAACTGTTTTACGTTCACTGACAACAACCAGAAATATTTCCGTGGCCCATATATTCCCAGATTTTCATAAAACTGTGGTCTATGATTTCTGCATCACCAGGTTTGTGTGAGCTCAGCAAAAGAGGAGTGTACCTGCCGATTCCATTATCTAAAGGTTGGCTTCATTAAAGAGCCACTGAACAAACCGATGGGCACCTGTGTTTTTCTGTTGCTCATTAGGAAAACTAGATTTCTGTCTTGGAGGTGTGTTTCCTGACCAATTCCGTGTTTGGTTAATGATGTTTGTCCCCCCCATGAGATACTGTAGACGCTGAAGCCTATTTCACTTCCTCAAAATCCCCAGAATGAATCTAAGATAACTCAAGAAATCTGTAATATATGTTGACGTTTTTTTTGCAGAGGATGTTTGAGTTGTTTTACATCTAAAGGTGTTTGGCGCAGTATTTTTTTCAAGTAAAAAAAATAAATAGCTGAGCAGGTCTGTCTCACTGTCTATGCTAGTGGATAGAGAGCAATCGCCGCAGCTGTTCACCCCATGTTAGTGGGCAAATGGACGTCGTCAAATCAAAACCCAACCTCCGTTGTGGCGCATGGATGTTCCAAACTCCGTTTTAGACAAGACTGATTTATGACCAAAATTACCCTATTTACACTTTAGTCCATTTTGACACTAGAATAAATGTTTGAGATATGAGATGCTGTAGATGCCATTTTCAAAGGGATGAATTGCTTTTTAAAGGCAGTCGCTCTTTAAAGTCCCGTAGATCACTTCACTATTCCAAAGCTCTACTACACAAGCTTCCAACTTACCTAACTCTGTTAAAGTATAACAACATGAGTTACAAACCCCGTTCACAGGGTTGGTTAACTCTTGAGGTTCCTTGGTTCTTCAACGAATTAGGTAAATCAGTCTTCAGTTTTAATGCCCCCATTTTTTTGAATATGCTGCAGAACTACCTGCGAGGGCAGTTTAGGAGTCTAATGTTGAATTTGTTTTGATTAAATGTAAAAAATATATTGTGGTGTTGAATTTGTAGTTAAAAAAACAAATTAACCTGTAGTAATTATTTTGTATTCATGTAGGCTAAATCATCCTGTTGTCCCGCATTTGGGTATTTCAAACGTGGTCACCCTACCCTGAACCCGTTTCTTTTTCTGTGCAGAAGAGAGATACATAGAGTTGTTCCTGAATTCAACATCAACTGACGAGGGGGAATGAAGTTTGCCAGGTTGGTCTGAATAAGAAATGTCAGTTCTAGGTTTCTATTTAGGGATTCCTAGATTTGAACATCAAATATTGTGATATAATATGAAACCGTACTTGATAATATTGGCTTTTACTGATTTAGGCTCCGACTTGTGATTCTGTCTGCAGGGGGATTCCTACCGGCGGGCTGTCCTCTCCAAAACTAGATGATCAGTGTAGTGTGGTGAAAATCCCCAGGAACTGGATGAGTCAACATTTGTAAGGGTGTGGAAATTAGCAAACAATTATGTTAAATATAATAATAAACTACATTCATCAATCTTGACTTTATTATGTGAAGACATGCAACATTCCCTGTAGGATCTGGTCATGGTTCAGCCTTACATGACTTCTCAGTGGTCCTCTGTAGCTCAGCTGGTAGAGCACGGCGCTCGTAACGCCAGGGTAGTGGGTTCGATCCCCGGGACCACCCATACGTAAAAATGTATGCACGCATGACTGTAAGTCGCTTTGGATAAAAGCGTCTGCTAAATGGCATATTATTATAATATTATTATTACTAAAACTATAATCAACGTCTAACTTGCACTGTTACGCAATTAAGAGACTAGATACAATTAGCTAATCCTGCCGATCAATGTTTTAGCATTAATTTAATTGAGGCAAGCAGATCAGAGATGTCCAGGTGGAAACCAGTGTACATTACCACTAGACCTACCTTATAAACGTATAGTCAAAGAATGACTCTGCTCTTTGCTAGTAAAAACAAGGCAGGAAACCACCCAGATTCTAATTAACTATTTAAATGATCGGCGCGCACCCCGTGTCGCTCCTCTGAACGATCTGCCATCAGACAAAACAAAATCCGTTACCCTGTAACAATACATCCATAGCACTTACAATAAAACAAACGTGTAGCTCTTTATGAACTCTTGAAACAATCCACACATTACAATTTAATTCACATAGTAACATTCATTTAGTCGATTCAAGTCTTCCCACCCCTCACCGGCGTCAGTGACCCCAGGACTTCCGTGGGAACGTCTCTCCCTAGAGATCGCCACAGTTAAGGTGTGTTTGAACCCGTGATGGCCAGCCATCCAAACAATGTCATAAATGGTGAGAATCACCAGGATCACCTCTCATTCTTCCACTACAGAATGACTAAGTCAGGATTTACCGTCTGCTATATGTATATGTGCTCTGTTGCTCTATGCATGGTCGTCACAATAAAGACTTTCCTGCTGAAGTGGTTGTGTCTTTCCGTCCAACAGGAAGCTCGGTCATGAGGCGTGAATCCAGGTTATGGAAGAGCATTTTATAGTATGACATCTTCCCCAGAGACACTTACTGTTTGGAATATGCAGTGTTGTAATTCAGTCATTGAGTTGACTAATGGTTCTGAATCTCAGTGGAGTGTTAGATTTCATAGATCATTACAAACTAATAGCAGACAGTATAAATGAAAACCAGGCTTGGTAAAACTTGATCAAAGTTTATTGTCGAGTAAGGAAACATTTACATCTGGTCTTGTCCAGAACTTCTGGAGTATCAGAGTATTTTATTTTTGTCTAATATCGCCCAGATAATTACAGAACTGCCAGATAATCAATATAATCCCTTTTTGTCATTTTAATGATTCCATTATTCTCATTTCTTAATTAAAAGTTATAGACAATGTTGCATTTTGAACCCGCTGTTGTCAGATGTATGGCAAACCAAAGCATTGCACTAAGTTCAGATCAACCGCAAAACACAAAAAGTTCAATGTTTCACCAACATTTCATATCCGATTGTCTCGTAACTGATAAAATATAAATCCGTAAGTTCTACTTTTTAACGCTTCACAAATGTTTTGAGCAAAAGCCACAAGTACTATATTAAGTCCACAAGTACTGACTAAATACTGTGATCAGTTCAGATATGTACACACGATGCAAAAGATTCAGCTTTTCACATAACCTAGAGAACATGAAACCAACCCGGGCCAGACCTGTTTGTGCAATCATTCCACTCTCAGCCCCTCCTTGCCATATGCCAAACATGGTTTGAATAGCACAAACAGATCTGGGACCAAGCTATGAAAATATATACCTTCGCATGGGAGTCATTGGAGTTTTCAGATGTCTGAAACCGTTAAGAGATGAGAAGCTTGGAGTCAGTGAAGTTAAAGCTGCACTACGCAGAAATCACTCCTCCATTTCCTTGTTGCTAAAATTCTAATATTTCACCTAATTTCAGTTTGTGACAAAACAATCATATATAGTGTAGGGAATCATTTTACAATCGAAACCACTGAAATATATTTTCCATAACCAAAAGTATTGTATTTTCAGCTGTTTGAAGCTGGTGTAAAAACAAAACAAAACGGGAAGCATAGAAATAGTGCAGATAGAACACATCTACAGCTTCTCAGACTGGCATTCAATGAAGATGACAGATCTATAACTCACATTTCTATGCGAAATTGGTCAGGTCGCCCAAAAAGTAAAGTCGTCAGACCGAAAGTCGTCTGTCCCTTTTAGATATTTTAGTAGAGAATGACACTGCATTCCAGGCCGAGACAGGAAGTGTGTGTCTCAGGGTGGGCTGGAGGCGTACTGCATGACACTGCATTCCAGGCCGAGACAGGAAGTGTGTGTCTCAGGGTGGGCTGGAGGCATACTGCTGCAGTAGCTGTGAGTAGCAGGAGTCACAGACGTGTTCAGGGTTGATGGAGGAGGGAAGAGGAAGCTCATTGGTCAGACAGCGGTCACAGAACACCCCTCGACAGTTAGCACACTGGCTCTATAGAGAGAAGAGAAACAGTTAATACACTGTCTCCATAGACAGAAGATAGAACTGGAGAGATGCTGATTATTCTAGAAGGAGTTCAGCTGGAGGATTATGAGGAAGTAAAACACTGGATTGAGACACGGTCAGTTTGAGGAAGTCATCATGTCTGAAGAAGAGGAGGATTGAGACACGGTCAGTTTGAGGAAGTCATCATGTCTGAAGAAGAGGAGGTGGTACCTTGGTCTTAGTCATGGACTCCTCCTGTTCACATAGAGAGCAGATGGACGCCTGGCTGATCTCAAGACAAGACTGGTCCTGGAGAAGAGATCATCTGCATTAAATATATTATGCATATTTAACACTTCAAAATGGTAGAAACATTAGATATATTATACATTCAGTGCATTCTGAAAGTATTCAGACCCCTTTCCTTTTTCCACATTGTTACGTTACAGCCTTAATCTAAAATGGATTAAAATATTTTAAAAAACAAATTCTTATTTCCATAAGTATTCAGACCCTTTGCTATGAGACTCGAAATTGAGCTCAGGTGCATCCTGTTCCCATTGATCATCCTTGAAATGTTTCTACAATTTGATTTGAGTCCACCTGTGGTAAATTCAATTGATTGGACATGATTTGGAAAGGCACACACCTGTCTATATAAGGTCCCACAGTTGACTGTGCATGTCAGAGCAAAAACCAAGCCATGAGGTCAAAGGAATTATCCGTAGAGCTCCGAGACAGAATTGTGTCGAGGCACAGATCTGGGGAAGGGTACCAAAACATTTATGCAGCATTGAAGGTCCCCAAGAACACAGAGGCCTCCATCATTCTTAAATGGAAGAAGTTTGGAACCACCAAGACTCTTCCTAGAGCTGGCCGTCCGGCCAAACTGAGCAATCAGGGGAGAAGGGCCTTGGTCAGGGAGGTGACCAAGAACCCGATGGTCACCCTGACAGAGCTCTAGAGTTCCTCTGTGGAGATGGGAGAACCTTCCAGAAGGACAACCATGTCTGCAGCCCTCCACCAATCAGGCCTTTATGGTAGAGTGGCCAGACGGAAGCCACTCCTCAGTAAAAGGCACATGACAGCCCGCTTGGAGTTTGCCAAAAGGCACCTAAAGGACTCTCAGACCATGAGAAACAAGATTCTCTGTTCTGATGAAACCAAGATTGAACGCTTTGTCCTGAATGCCAAGCGTCACGTATGGAGGAAATCTGGCACCATCACTACAGTGAAGCATGGTGGTGGCAGCATCATGCTGTGGGCATGTTTTTCAGTGGTAGGGACTGGGAGACTAGTCAGGATTGAGGGAAAGATGAACGGAGCAAAGTACAGAGAGATCCTTGATGAAAACCTGCTCCAGAGCACTCAGGACCTCAGACTGGGGCGAAGGTTCACCTTCCAACAGGACAACGACCCTAAGCACACAGCCAAGACAACACAGGAGTGGCTTCGGACATGTCTCTGAATGTCCTTGAGTGGCCCAGCCAGAGCCCGGACTTGAACCCGATCGAACGTCTCTGGAGAGATCTGAAAATAGCTGTGCAGCAACGCTCCCCATCCAACCTGACAGAGCTTGAGAGGATCTGCAGAGAAGAATGTAAGGAACTCCCCAAATACAGGTGTGCCAAGCTTGTAGCGTCATACCCAAGAAGACTTGAGGCTGTGATCGCTGCCAAAGGTTTTTCAACACAGAACCGATTTAAAGGGTCTGAATCCTTATGTAAATTTGATATTTCAATTTTTTATAAATTTGCAAGAAATTCTAAAAACCTGTTTTTGCTTTGTCATTATTGGGGTATTTTGTGTAGATTGATGAGGGGGGGGAAAACAATTTAATCAATTTTAGAATAAGGCTGTAACATAACAGAATGTGGAGAAAGTCAAGGGGTCTGAATACTTTCCGAAGGCTCTGTATTTAACACTTCAAATGGTAGAAACAGATACAGTACCAGTCAAAAGTTTTTATTTTACTATTTTCTACATTGTAGAATAATAGTGAAGACATCAAAACTATGAAATAACACAAATGGAATCATGTAGTAACCAAAAAGGTGTTCAATAAATCAAAATATATTTTATATTTGAGATTCTTCAAATAGCCACCCTTTGCCTTGATGACAGCTTTGCACACATATTATACATATTTAACACTTCAAATGGTAGAAACAGCTGTAAAAGGGAGCTCCTATGAAGACGCCCACAGCAAAGATATCTAGAAAGACTGTAGTTAGAAGAGAATTCTTAAGGAATCTTACCTCTTTATCCTGATTTTGTGACAATGACCTAGAGCGAGAGAACGAGAGAGATAGGACACAGAGAGAGAGAGAGAACGATAGAGAGAGAGAAGAGAGAGGGGAAGTAGAAGAGAGAGAGACCAGGAGAGAGAGAGGAGAACGAGAGAGAGAGAGAGAGAGGCGAAGAGAGGAGATCACCATGAGACTGCACTGTACATACAGTAAGTTCAGTAGTAAACCAATGAGACTGAATGTTGTTTCATACTAACCAGAGATTGTACATGTTGTTTCATACTAAACCAATGAGACTGACATGTTGTTTTCATACTAAACAATGAGACTGTACATGTTGTTTTCATACTAAACCATGAGACTGTACATGTTGTTTTCATACTAAACCATGAGACTGTACATGTTGTTTTCATACTAACGAAGACGTACAGATTGTTTCAATACAAAATGCTACTAGTTAGAACCCGAGAGACTGGCTCTTGCCTCCAACGCGTTGCATAGTCGCTCATTCTCCTTTTGGAAGGCCTCTAGTTCCTATGACAACACAGAACAACATTGTCCTTTTGGAAGGCCTCTAGTTCCTATGACAACACAGAACAACATTGTCCTTTTGGAAGGCCTCTAGTTCCTATGACAACACAGAACAACATTGTCCTTTTGGAAGGCCTCTAGTTCCTATGACAACACAGAACAACATTGTCCTTTTGGAAGGCCTCTAGTTCCTATGACAACACAGAACAACATGGCCATGTCAGTCCTTGAATAGACTTCAGGGTCATTTCTAGGAGGAGGTTGTCAGGAGCAGGGTGTCGTACCTTCCTGATGCTGTCCACCTGTCTGGGGTCTCCCTGGGGTGTTGAGGCCCTCTTCTCCCCAGACACAGGGTCTATGTGCTGGCCACCTCCACCTCCACCTCCCCTCCTCAGCTCCTGCTCCAGACTCCATCTGACACAAACACGTTTCATATCAAGTACAGGACCTCTAAATCTGAACAAATAATTAATGACTAATATATTTATTCATTGACTGAATAAATCTGAGTCTCTAGAGCAGTACGAGCTGCAGCATGATAACTACACTGAACAAAAATAGAAACTCAACATGTAAAGTGTTGGTCCCATGTTTCATGAGCTGGAAATAAAAGATCCCAGAAATGTTCCATACGCCCAACATTTGTATTTCTCTCACATTTTGTGCACAAATTTGTTTACATCCCTGTTAGTGAGCATTTCTCCTTTGCCAAGATAATCATCCACCTGACAGGTGTTGCATATCAAGAAGCTGATTAAACAGCATGATCATTACACAGGTGCACCTTGTGCTGGGGACAATAAAAGGCCACTAAAATGTGCAGTTTTGTTAGACAACACAATGCCACAGATGTCTCAAGTTTTTAGGGAGCGTGCAATTGGCATGCTGACTGCAGGAATGTCCAACAGAGCTGTTACCAGATAATTAAAATGTTAATTTCTCTACCATAAGCTGCCTCCAACGTCGTTTTAGAGAATTTGGCAGTACGTTCAACCGGCCTCACAACCGCAGACCATGTGTAACCACGCTCATTGTCGTGCCATTCATCTGCCGCCATCACCTCATGTTTCAGCATGATAACGCACAGCCCCATTTCGAAAGGATCTGTACACAATTCCTGGAAGCTGAAAATGTCCCAGTTCTTCCATGGCCTGCATACTCACCAGACATGTCACCCATTGAGCATGTTTGGGATGCTCTGGATCAACAGCGTGTTCCAGTTCCCGCCAATATCCAGCAACTTCGCACAGCCATTGAAGACAAGTGGGACAACATTTCACAGGCCACAATCAACAGCCTGATCAACATTTGCATGAGGCAAATGGTGGTCACACCAGATACTGACTGGTTTTCTGATCCACGCCCCTACATTTATTTTTAAAAAGGTATCTGTGACCAACAGTCATATCTGTATTCCCAATCATGTGAAATCCATAGATTAGGGCCTAATCAATTTATTTCAATTGACTGATTTCCTTATATTAACTGTAACGCAGTTGCATGTAGCGTTTATTTCTGTTCAGTGTGTGTATATATATATATATATTTTTTTAAATCTTTATTTTAACAGGGAAAAACAGACTGAGACCTGGATCTCTTTTACGGCTGTGCCCTGTGTAAACATGTTGACATGTACAGTTTTAGACATACAGACAAGAACATTTAAAACATACAAAACAAAAACACAATTCAACAGAAACAAATCACAGACAACATCATTTTGATCCTCCATAAAAAAATTTAAATGGGCAAGGGACACCAGAGTGTCTAACTTAAGTTGGATCTGCAGTTTGTTCCATAAATAAGGTGCAAAGGAACTGAAGGCAGTCCTACCCAACTCTGGGGAGACCACAGGAGTCTCTAAGGTAATCCACATCTGTGATCTGGTTTTAAAATTAGTATATCTAATGGAAATGAATGATGATATATACGGAGGTAGTTTTAAAAGAAGTGCTTTATGAATAAACAGGAGAGCATGTTGCTCTCGCCTCACAGATAGAGAGGCCCAACCCACATGTTGATATAGGAAACAGTGATGAGTTTTATAAATCCAATCAAATGTATTGATCCTGATTATTACCTGTGTTTCCGTAGTCGTTCCACCTCCAGCTGTAGAGAGTCTATCTTGTCTCCAAACTCCTGTTTAAACAGTCTGTTATCCTCCGCTGCCCGGTCCCTCTCCCTCTCCGCCTGACGGGATCTGCACGGGGGGGGGGGGGGGGTAAAATGAACTCATGGTAAAATTAAAATTAAAAACAATAACTCATGAACTAAACTTCAAATGAGAACGACAAAACTGAGAAATGAAACTAAAGAACTTGTGAACATTAGGTCAAATGAAATGGAAAGATGGCCACAACAACTCATGGTAAAATGAAAAGTAAAGGTGAAGAAAACATGGAGGGTAGAGAGACTCCATTTCAACAGAAAGGGGAGAGGAACAGGAAGAGAAACAGGAAGAGAAACAGGAAGAGGCCTAAAAGAAGCTGCGTCAAAAAGGAAGTCAAGGGAAAAGACAGACTCCTCCTCCCATCATCCAGAAGCAGACCAGACCAGTAGAAGTTTGATTGAATATTTTTTATTATGCTAGTATTGACTACAGTTGACATCTAAGGTAATATTATTGTCTACAGTTGACATCTAAGGTAATATTATTGTCTACAGTTGACATCTAAGGTAATAAATCCACATACACATCATTTCATTTAGACTTGCTTTTCTCTGGGAGTACTTTAGCGTTCTCATTCTGACCTGGACTGACCTTTCACACAACCAGTAAATCCTTCCATGGTGATTTGAGTTGTTGTCCAATGGTAGACGTGGTGTTCAGTGCTCTGGGGTGAGATTCCCAAAAACAAAAGATATATCTTTAGCGCCAAGATCATGTTAAGTCCATCGGTAGGCAACGGAAGAACGATGATCTTAATGCTAAAGGTGATCTTTATGTTTTGACGAAATTCAGATTAGACGAGGAAGCAGAAATGTGTGTGCAGTATGGCCCAGACGTCATACTACTGTAATTACTGTTATGTTGCAGGAGCCCAGATCTTTACTAACCATGGGGTTAGACTTAATAATAATAATAATAATAAGCCATTTAGCAGACGCTTTTATCCAAAGCGACTTACAGTCATGTGCGCATACATTTTTACATATGGGTGGTCCCGGGTATCGAACCCACTACCCTGGCGTTACAAGCGCCGTGCTCTACCAGCTGACCACGGAGGACTTGAGTTCGGCTTGGTGGCTGGTCTATGGACCAATGGTCTAAGTTCCCAATGTGTTCTCCAACTCATAAAATGTTTTAGAAAAAGGTTCAGTGCAGTTATGCTTGCAAGGTGAGGTATTGAAAGGTATTGAAAACAGGGGTGTCAATTTTGACCCCTACCTTTTTGAGAAGAAAAAAAATATTACTTGCAAATACAATTAATAATTAAACAATTAATCATTTCCCCAAATTTTGGAGCATACAATATAGCTCAGTATTTGAATTATTTATTTTCTACAGTCATTATTGCTTATCTTATTCAAGCGTGTCAATAATTTCAGACCCCACTGTATTTTTATAGTAAATGTCTCTGAGCCGTACCCTTTATAGCCTAATCTAAGGACCTATGCCACAGTAGGCAGAGATGGACAGTATACTAAATATGTATTTCAATTACTTTTATGTATTTTGTCATTTGTATTACACTGTCCTGAACTACACTCCAATGTATTTTCTAACAAGATACTTTCGAAAGCTGTAATTTGTATTTTCGAAATACAAAATACTTTTCTATACAATTTTTTATAGCGATTCACAATTTTGTGGCCCCCTTTCACCCTGCATTGGTATCAGAAGTCTGATGGCGCTATGGTGTGATAAGAGCATCTGCTAAATGAACTAAATATAAATGAATATGTAAAAATGAAGAATTGCAAAGCATGCTGAGTATTATTTAAATGAGCTCCGCCCTGAAAAGAAAAGGCCAATAATAATACCCAGTGTGCTTTGCAGTTCATTTTGGTATGTTCATTTTCACATATACATTTTGGTCATTTAGCAGACACTCTTATCCAGAGTGACTTAAGCCTTCCACATCCTTGAGTTCGGCTGGCGCCTGGCTGAACGAGTCTGCTCCATACTCCCCTAAAAGACCGTCGCTTGAAAAATGAGAAAAAAGCAGCAATAGTACAGTTTGTCCATCTTAAGACGCCGTAGCCAGTTATACACTTCCCTCAAAATAGTTCAAATTAATCTAAGATAACGTCAATTAATGACAGATTTCTTGAGTTTTCTGCCGAGGAGATCTTAGTGCCGCAATTTTACAAAAAACTGCACAAAATGTGGTCAAAATATGCATGAACTGTTCGGGATGGGAAGCATGCGGACGCCTTTACAGTCAGCAGATAACAACACATCACAGTCATAGCAAGTAAAACGTTTCTGTAACCATTGCTGAGAATGTTGCTGCTGTTCGGGCCGGCTACTTGCAAATGTATTTCTGTATTTTAAAATACAAAATACATGTTTTTTTATTAAATACATTTCAAAATACAAGTATTTTGTAGTTTATTTTGATACATTGATCTTTATGGTATTTTGTCATTTTTGCCAATCCTTGACTGTAGGGGGATTCAGGGTTTCGATCTACAAGAAACGACAGCATCCATTTAGATTTGTCAGAATAGCACACCTCTCTCTTGCTGAAAATGGCTGACATCCCAAACTCCAAGCCTTGTATCAGGGAACATTAATTACGTGTGGGGATCTGACATCTTTATTCCTTTCGGAATGAACCCAAGCTAAAGTCGTGAAACCCAGCGAGCGGAACGGAGCCATCTCTACACTACTAGTAGACCAACAGAAAACACATGGAAGAACCGAGGCTAGAGGAAGCCAGAGAGACCGTCTCAGTCAGGAGAGTAGAGGTTTAGGAAAGAAAATGTAATTTAACACTTCAGAAGGAAAAGAACCGCAACAGATGATGTCATACCAGAAAATAAATACCCTAGTTAAAGGGATACTTCAGGATTTTGGCAATGAGGTCCTTTATCTACTTCCCCTGAGTCAGATGAACTCATGGATACCATTTTTATGTCTCTGCGTGCAGTTTGAAGGAAGTTACTAACTAGCGCTAGTGCAATTACTAACTAGCGTCAGCGCAATGACTGGAAGTCTATGGTATATGCTAGCAGACGCGATAGCGTCATTCCAGTCACTGCCCTAACGTTAGTTAGCGATTGGGCTAGCGCTAGTTCGCAACTTCCTTTAAAACTGCACGCAGAGAGATACAATTGGTATCCTCTAGTTCATCTGGAGAAGTAGATAAAGGACCTCATTGCCTAAATCTTGAAGTATCCCTTTAAGTCATTTCTATATTATGCAAATATTGGTTTTATGATTTCGATCAGGGTTTATGAAACTATGCTGTGGGTGTCATTTTGGGGAACAGAGTAGAGGGGAGGGAGCATTACTGCTGCTTCTGGAGCAGCTTCTCTGCGTTGGAACTCAAGCTTCTGGCCTGCTTCACACAGTCCTTCTCACTGTGAGGAGGAGGTGGTGGAGGAAGAGGAGGCAAAGAACCAAGGAATGCAAAATAAAAGAAAGTAAGGATGGATGGAATAGAAAGAGAGTGGAAGAGGAAGAAGGTAGTTATTAAGCCCTGAAAAGAAAACATGTTTAGACAGATTAGATTTGATAGTCAAAAACACTGGCAAGAGTCTGTCCCAAAAAAAAGCATTGTCAGAGGAGATTCTCTTTGAATCCAGGATTTGTCTTAATCTGGGTCCATGAAATCCATCCTAGCCGCTAATAACAACAACACAAGGTTATCGGAACACTTTGCTATCCTCATTCGTTGCAGCTGCAGTGTGAGTGGGATTAGAGAGGACGCCCATTTCATGGCTTATAACAGTACTGGCAGTGCTGAATAACAACTTCAAACATGAACTTACTCATAAAAACAGCAGCTGAATTCGTTGACAGTCTCTCTAGTACTGGTTTTTTTAAAGTTTTGAAATCTCAGAGTATCACATTTGCTGTGCGCTCGAGGAAACTGCAGACGCAGTAATCTGAGCTATCTGATTGGCCAGCCATAGGCCTATAGGTGCACTTGATCTGCTTTCCCGGGCCCGCGGGGTTTGGCACTCGGAGGCAGCGGTACAGCGAAGCCCAATCATAACAACAATTATACTGGGTGGTTTTTTTTGTTTTTTTTCTAGTTGCACAGGTTCTCCACAATTCAAATTCCAAGCTAAATATTTAGGAGCAATATGCAACCAAAATAGTCGCACTTTAGAGCCCTGAGAGTAGTGGAGTGGAGCGTGATGGTGGTGTTCCCCCCCTGAGAGTAGTGGAGTGGAGCGTAACGGTGGTGTTCCCCCCCTGAGAGTAGTGGAGTGGAGCGTGATGGTGGTGTTCCCCCCTGAGAGTAGTGGAGTGGAGCGTGACGGTGGTGTTCCCCCCCTGAGAGTAGTGGAGTGGAGCGTGACGGTGGTGTTCCCCCCCTGAGAGTAGTGGAGTGGAGCGTAACGGTGGTGTTCCCCCCTGAGAGTAGTGGAGTGGAGCGTAACGGTGGTGTTCCCCCCTGAGAGTAGTGGAGTGGAGCGTAACGGTGGTGTCCCCCCCCTGAGAGTAGTGGAGTGGAGCGTAACGGTGGTGTTCCCCCCCTGAGAGTAGTGGAGTGGAGCGTAACGGTGGTGTTCCCCCCCTGAGAGTAGTGGAGTGGAGCGTAACGGTGGTGTTCCCCCCCTGAGAGTAGTGGAGTGGAGCGTAACGGTGGTGTTCCCCCCCTGAGAGTAGTGGAGTGGAGCGTAACGGTGGTGTTCCCCCCCTGAGAGTAGTGGAGTGGAGCGTAACGGTGGTGTTCCCCCCTGAGAGTAGTGGAGTGGAGCGTAACGGTGGTGTCCCCCCCTGAGAGTAGTGGAGTGGAGCGTAACGGTGGTGTTCCCCCCCTCCCCCCTGAGAGTAGTGGAGTGGAGCGTAACGGTGGTGTTCCCCCCTGAGAGTAGTGGAGTGGAGCGTAACGGTGGTGTTCCCCCCCTGAGAGTAGTGGAGTGGAGCGTAACGGTGGTGTTCCCCCCTGAGAGTAGTGGAGTGGAGCGTAACGGTGGTGTTCCCCCCCTGAGAGTAGTGGAGTGGAGCGTGACGGTGGTGTTCCCCCCCTGAGAGTAGTGGAGTGGAGCGTAACGGTGGTGTTCCCCCCTGAGAGTAGTGGAGTGGAGCGTAACGGTGGTGTTCCCCCCCTGAGAGTAGTGGAGTGGAGCGTAACGGTGGTGTTCCCCCCTGAGAGTAGTGGAGTGGAGCGTGACGGTGGTGTTCCCCCCTGAGAGTAGTGGAGTGGAGCGTAACGGTGGTGTTCCCCCCCCTGAGAGTAGTGGAGTGGAGCGTGGCGGTGGTGTTCCCCCCCTGAGAGTAGTGGAGTGGAGCGTGACGGTGGTGTTCCCCCCCTGAGAGTAGTGGAGTGGAGCGTGACGGTGGTGTTCCCCCCCTGAGAGTAGTGGAGTGGAGCGTAACGGTGGTGTTCCCCCCTGAGAGTAGTGGAGTGGAGCGTAACGGTGGTGTCCCCCCCCTGAGAGTAGTGGAGTGGAGCGTAACGGTGGTGTTCCCCCCTGAGAGTAGTGGAGTGGAGCGTGATGGTGGTGTTCCCCCCCTGAGAGTAGTGGAGTGGAGCGTAACGGTGGTGTTCCCTCCCACCTGATCTCTAGCTGTTTTATAGTCCCAGCCATCTGATTGGTCTTCTCCTCTAGGCGACTGATGACCTCACTCTTCTGCTTGGCGCCCACCTCCGAGCTCTGTGGACATCAGGGTTGGGATCAATTACATTTCAATTCAGTTGACTGAAATTCCAATACCAAATGTCTGTGCATTAGTGTCGGTCTTTGTAAAAATATAATAATTTATTAAATTGAACAATAATTCATTTTATTTATGAAGAGCATTTCTTACACCCAAGGCGCTCCAAATCTTGATAAACATAACATCAGCGTACCTGCGACTTGTGTGCTAGCTGCTGGTTGAGGCTCCTGAGGTCTTCCAGCTGTTGTCGCAGCTCCACCAGAGCATCCTGTTTCTCACACATATCCGTCTCTAACATCTTCATAGACAGCTCCATCTCCTGCTTCATACCAATCTGAACCTCCAACTCCTTCTCTACATCCTGGAGGGGGACAGCGAGGGGTTAGTATGGGGTGCAGGGAGAGAGGGATGGATGGAGGATGGATGATTTGAACCTCTACACCCTGATGGGGATGGAGGGAAGGATGGATGGAGGATGGATGATTTGAACCTCTACACCCTGATGGGGATGGAGGGATGGAGGGACTATCTGCACCTCCAACTCCTTCTCTACATCCTGGAGGGGGACAGCGATGGGTTAGTATGGGGTGCAGGGAGAGAGGGATGGATGGAGGATGGATGATTTGAACCTCTACACCCTGATGGGGATGGAGGGAAGGATGGATGGAGGATGGATGATTTGAACCTCTACACCCTGATGGGGATGGAGGGATGGAGGGACTATCTGCACCTCCAACTCCTTCTCTACATCCTGGAGGGGGACAGCGATGGGTTAGTATGGGGTGCAGGGAGAGAGGGATGGATGGAGGATGGATGATTTGAACCTCTACACCCTGATGGGGATGGAGGGAAGGATGAATGGAGGATGGAGGGACTATCTGCACCTCCAACTCCTTCTCCATGTCCTGAGGGGGAAATGAGGAATGGAGGAAATATCTGATCCATGTCAAGAATAAAAAGGGGCAAAAAGAGAGCGAGAAACTGACCAATCGTAGCAGAGTTTCTTCCTTCAGCTGTTTGCGTGTCTCTCCAAGCTCCTGGCCGTCTGCCGAGCCGTCCCCTGACCGCGACGCCTGGGGCACATTACACAATATACAACAGAATTATTACACCCTGCATACCACAGTTATAAAGCTTTATAAAAGACACATTACACCCTACATACAGTCAATTACACCCTACATACAGTCAATTACACCCTACATACAGTCAATTACACCCTACATACAGTCAATTACACCCTACATACAGTCAATTACACCCTACATACAGCAATTACACCCTACATACAGTCAATTACACCCTACATACAGTCAATTACACCCTACATACAGTCAATTACACCCTACATACAGTCAATTACACCCTACATACAGTCAATTACACCCTACATACAGTCAATTACACCCTACATACAGTCAATTACACCCTACATACAGTCAATTTCACCCTACATACAGTCAATTACACCCTACATACAGTCAATACACCCTACATACAGTCAATTACACCCTACACACATGTCAATTACACCCGTACATACAGTCAATTTACACCCTACATACAGTCAATTACCACCCTACATTACCGTCAATTCACCCTACACACAGTCAATGTACACCCTACATACAGTCAATTACACCCTACATACAGTCAATTACACCCTACATACAGTCAATTACACCCTACATACAGTCAAATTACACCCTACATACAGTCAAATTACACCCTACATACAGTCAATTACACCCTACATACAGTCAATTACACCCTACATACAGTCAATACACCCTACATACAGTCAATTACACCCTACATACAGTCAATTACACCCTACATACAGTCAATTACACCCTACATACAGTCAATTACACCCTACATACAGTCAATTACACCCTACATACAGTCAATTACACCCTACATACAGTCAATTACACCCTACATACAGTCAATTACACCCTACATACAGTCAATTACACCCTACATACAGTCAATTACACCCTACATACAGTCAATTACACCCTACATACAGTCAATTACACCCTACATACAGTTCAATTACACCCTACATACAGTCAATTACACCCTACATACAGTCAATTACACCCTACATACAGTCAATTACACCCTACATACAGTCAATTACACCCTACATACAGTCAATTACACCCTACATACAGTCAATTACACCCTACATACAGTCAATTACACCCTACATACAGTCAATTACACCCTACATACAGTCAATTACACCCTACATACAGTCAATTACACCCTACATACAGTCAATTACACCCTACATACAGTCATTACACCCTACATACAGTCAATTACACCCTACATACAGTCAATTACACCCTACATACAGTCAATTACACCCTACATACCGTCAATTACACCCTACATACAGTCAATTACACCCTACATACAGTCAATTACACCCTACATACAGTCAATTACACCCTACATACAGTCAATTACACCCTACATACAGTCAATTACACCCTACATACAGTCAATTACACCCTACATAAGGGATATTTCTAAAGATGTTTTGAGGGGTGGACAACCTTGCGACTTGACTCTATCTGGTAGGCGCTCTCCTCCTTGACTCGTTCTACATCCTCTTGTAGGGTGATGATCCTGTTGTTGGCTACGGCAAGCTGGACAGACAACACACAGCAGTGGGACTTAAAAACCCAAAACACCTCTCGACCCCATCCATGGTGTAGTGGGCAGAAATGCCTGTTAGAAATGAGAATGTGGTAGAAACTAACCAGCCCACCTCTTCTGTGAGCTTGGTGTTGGACTTCTCCATAGTGTCTACTCTGGCCTGCAGGTTGTTGACTGAAGCACTCAGGTGTCTGTTCAGCTCCTCAACATAGTTCTTCTGGTCCAGGATGGCTGTGATCTGTCCATCCCTGGAGGGAGGGAGGGAGGGAGGGAGAGAGGGAGGGAGGGAGGGAGGGAGGGAGGGAGGGAGGGAGGGAGGGAGGGAGGGAGGGAGGGAGGGAGGGAGAGAGGGAGTCGAGATGAAAAGAGAAGAGGTAAGCAGCAAACACCTCGTTCAGGGAGAACGTTGAAACATGCAGCAACTGACAGATTAAGGCTAACACTAGGGCCGTGTCTCCTTCCAGAGGGTTGTTTCCTCAAGGCTAACACTAGGGCCGTGTCTCCTTCCAGAGGGTTGTTTCCTCAAGGCTAACACTAGGGCCGTGTCTCCTTCCAGAGGGTTGTTTAGACCAAGGCTAACACTAGGGCCGTGTCTCCTTCCAGAGGGTTGTTTCCTCAAGGCTAACACTAGGGCCGTGTCTCCTTCCAGAGGGTTGTTTCCTCAAGGCTAACACTAGGGCCGTGTCTCCTTCCAGAGGGTTGTTTAGACCAAGGCTAACACTAGGGCCGTGTCTCCTTCCAGAGGGTTGTTTCCTCAAGGCTAACACTAGGGCCGTGTCTCCTTCCAGAGGGTTGTTTAGACCAAGGCTAACACTAGGGCCGTGTCTCCTTCCAGAGGGTTGTTTCCTCAAGGCTAACACTAGGGCCGTGTCTCCTTCCAGAGGGTTGTTTCCTCAAGGCTAACACTAGGGCCGTGTCTCCTTCCAGAGGGTTGTTTCCTCAAGGCTAACACTAGGGCCGTGTCTCCTTCCAGAGGGTTGTTTCCTCAAGGCTAACACTAGGGCCGTGTCTCCTTCCAGAGGGTTGTTTCCTCAAGATGAGGAGAGGAGGAACTCACCCTTCTACTGTCTTGCTGCTGTGAACCCCGTCCTTAAGATACATGGAGAAGTCTATCACCCCGACCTGCACAGGAAATAACAGACACTGGTATTAACGCTTCAGTTCTAAAGAACCACAGAATCAGGGTCTATAGTTGAAAACTAGCTGGCTGGATAAATCTGGCACATTTATAGAGATGTTGACTGATGTGCATTGTCCCGGTCAAATAAATGTAATACTGCATACAGTGCCTTTGGAAAGTATTCAGACCCCTTGACCTTTTCCACATTTTATTACGTTACAGCCTTATTCTAAAATTGATTAAATAAATAAAAATCCTCAATCTACACACAATACCCCATAATGAAAGTGAAAACAGACTTGACATCTTTGCAGATTTATAAAAAATAAAAAAAAACAGAAATAACTTATTGACATAAGTATTCAGACCCTTTGCTATGAGACTCGAAATTGAGCTCAGGTGCATCCTGTTTCCATTGATCATCCTTGAGATGTTTCTACAACTTGATTGGCGTCCACCTGTGGTAAATTCAATTGATTGGACATGATTTGGAAAGGTACACACCTGTCTATATAAGGTCCCACAGTTGACAGTGCATGTCAGAGCAAAAACCAAGACATGAGGTCAAAGAATTGTTCGTAGAGCTCCGAGACGGGATTGTGTCGAGGCACAGATCTGGGGAAGGGTACCAAAAAATTTCTGCAGCATTGAAGGTCCCCAAGAACACAGTGGCCTCTATCATTCTTAAATGGAACAAGCAAGACTCTTCCTAGAGCTGGCCGACCGGCCAAACTGAGCAATCGGGGGAGAAGGGCCTTGGTCAGGGAGGTGACCAAGAACCCGATGGTCACTCGGACAGAGCTCCAGAGTTCCTCTGTGGAGATAGGGGAACTTTCCAGAAGGACAACCATCTCTGCAGCTCTCCACCAATCAGGCCTTTATGGTAGAGTTGCCAGACGGAATCCACTCCTCAGTAAAAGGCACATAAAGACTCAGCCAATGAGAAACAAGAGTCTCTGGTCTGATGAAACCAAGATTGAACTCTTTGGTCTGAATGCAAAGTGTCACGTCTGGAGGAAACCTGGCACCATCCCTACGGTGAAGCATGGTGGTGGCAGCATCATGCTGTGGAGATGTTTTTCAGCGGCAGGGACTGGGAGGCTAGTCAGGATCGAGGGAGCAAAGTACAGAAAGATCCTTGATGAAAACCTGCTCCAGCGCACTCAGGACCTCAGACTGGACAATGACCCTAAGCACCTTCCAACAGGACAATGACCCTAAGCACACAGCCAAGACAACACAGGAGTAGCTTCGGGACAAGTCTCTGAATGTCCTTGAGTGGCCCAGCCAGAGCCCGAACAAACATCTCTGGAGAGACCTGAAAATAGCTGTGCAGCAACGCTCCCCATCCAACCAGACAGAGCTTGAGAGGATCTGCAGAGAAGAATGGGAAAAAAATCTCCAAATAGAGCTGTGTCAAGCTTGTAGCGTCATACCCAATAAGACTCATGGTTGTAATCATTGCCAAAGGTGCTTCAACAAAGTACTGAGTAAAGGGTCTGAATACTTATCTAAATGTGATATCTGTTTTTTTATTTTTCATAAATTAGCAACAACATTTTTCCCAAAAATCTGTTTATGCGTTGTCATTATGGGGTATTTTGTGTAGATTGATGAGGGGGAAAAAACAATTTAATCAATTTTAGAATAAGGCTGTAACCTAACAGAATCTGGAAAAAGTCAAGGGATCTGAATACTTTCCGAAGGCTCTGTATATCCATATGGTCCAACAGATCAACCTGTGAGTCCAGGTCTTCTCCCTTCAGACAGACAGACAGACGTTGGTTGCGGTGTACAGACTACACTGAGTGGACAAAACTTTATGAACACCTGCTCTTTCCATGACAGACTGACCAGGTGAAAGCTATGATCCCTTATTGATGTCACTTGTTAAATCCACTTCAATCAGTGTAGATGAAGGGGAGGAGACAGGTTAAAGAAGGATTTTTAAGCCTTTAGACAATTGAGACATGGGCAAGATAAAATATTTAAGTGCCTTTAAACGGGGTATGGTAGTAGGTGCCAGGCGCACCGGTTTGTGTCAAGAACTGCAACACTGCTGGGTGTTTTACACTCAACAGTTTCCCGTGTGTATCAAGAATGTTCCACCACCCAAAGGACATCCAGCCAACTTGACAACTGTGGGAAGCATTGGAGTCAACATGGGCCAGCATCCCTGTGGAACGCTTTCGACACCTAGTAGTTTATGCCTCGACAAATTGAGGCTGTTCTGATGGCAAAAGGGAGTGCAACTCAATATTAGGAAGGTGTACTTATCGTGTACTGTATTCTGTGTAAAGACTACACTGTAATATATAGTGTACTGCATTCTGTGTAAAGACTACACTGTAATATATAGTGTACTGCATTCTGTGTAAAGACTACACTGTAATATATAGTGTACTGCATTCTGTGTAAAGACTACACTGTAATATATAGTGTACTGCATTCTGTGTAAAGACTACACTGTAAATATATATTGTACTGTATTCTGTGTAAAGACTACACTGTAAATATATATTATACTGTATTCTGTGTAAAGACTACACTGTAAATATATAGTGTACTGCATTCTGTGTAAAGACTACACTGTAATATATAGTGTACTGATTCTGTGTAAAGACTACACTGTAATTATAGTGTACTGCATTCTGTGTAAAGACTACACTGTAAATTATATTGTACTGTATTCTGTGTAAAGACTACACTGTAAATGATATATTACTGTATTCTGTGTAAAGACTACACTGTAATGTATATTATACTGTATTCTGTGTAAAGACTACACTGTAAATGTATATTGTACTGTATTCTGTGTAAAGACTACACTGTAAATGTATATTGTACTGTATTCTGTGTAAAGACTACACTGTATTCTGTGTAAAGACTACACTGTAAATGTATATTGTACTGTATTCTGTGTAAAGACTACACTGTAAATGTATATTATACTGTATTCTGTGTAAAGACTACACTGTAAATGTATATTGTACTGTATTCTGTGTAAAGACTACACTGTAATGTATATTATACTGTATTCTGTGTAAAGACTACACTGTAAATGTATATTATACTGTATTCTGTGTAAAGACTACACTGTAAATGTATATTGTACTGTATTCTGTGTAAAGATTACACTGTAAATGTATATTGTACTGTATTCTGTGTAAAGACTACACTATAAATGTATATTATACTGTATTCTGTGTAAAGATTACACTGTAAATATATATTATACTGTATTCTGTGTAAAGACTACACTGTAAGTGTATATTGTACTGTATTCTGTGTAAAGACTACACTGTAAATGTATATTGTACTGTATTCTGTGTAAAGACTACACTGTAAGTGTATATTGTACTGTATTCTGTGTAAAGACTACACTGTAAATGTATATTATACTGCATTCTGTGTAAAGACTACACTGTAAATGTATAGTGTAGAATAACCTGTGAGTCCAGGTCTTCTCCCTTCATACAGAGGTTGGCATCGATGACGTTCAACCCAACCAGCAGTCCGGCGATCACGGCTCCCTCTTCCTCCATCATGAGAGCATTGGCCTCGTAGAACTCACTGTTAACACACACACACACACACACACACACACCATTGGCCTCATTGAACAACTCACTGGCAACGTATGCTCTCGCTCTCACACACACCTGAGCAGGTCCTTTCTGTTGATGATGGTCTTCATGTAGTCTGACAGCTTCTTCTGCATCAGGGCCAATCGCAGCCAGGCCCGCCCTCTTCCTAACGGGGTTCTGGTGAGTGACATAAATCAGATAGTCTATGACAGGGGTTCGTTTACGCCAATCACATATCAACTGAACGGTGAGTGACAGGGATTTACACCAATCAGATAGCGTGTGACACGTTAACATCAATACCCTATGAAAGTCCTACCTACTACAAGTCTGTTTTCGAGCTTCAAGCTTATTTCATCAAATTCATGAAAACGGTCATTTAAAATATGTAAAATTACATTTGTATTCGTGGATTAATTTTGGGGATGGAAAAACCGTTTCAGTGTCAACTTAAACAACCAAACCCAGATGATAGAAAGCATGCAGAAAAGATATTGAACTATATATTATTTAAATAATACCATCTTTGAGAACTTACAATCAAATAAAAGCTAGACAGTCAGGGGGACCGGGCATATGCCCATTGATTTTGATATGTTTGAGCAGAGGAACACTGCATTATCCATGGCAAAATGCATAGAATTGCAGGAAATTTGCTTCAAAACTGCAAAAACTCTCAGCTCAATGGAATAATGTGTAGAATTGTATCTCCACGCCACCAAGACACCTTTCTAGCTAATATACTATGTTAGAGTTCACACTTCCTCTTCCAATGAACTGTGGGGAGGTCAACATAATGAAGCTGTCTACTAAATCTATTCATTCTTTTTAATGTTTATTACTTCTGTTTGCCATTATCATTCACCTGATGATAAGACAAGATGTATGAGGAAAACTATCATTCACCTGATGATAAGACAAGATGTATGAGGAAAACTATCATTCACCTGATGATAAGACAAGATGTATGAGGAAAACTATCATTCACCTGATGATAAGACAAGATGTATGAGGAAAACTATCATTCACCTGATGATAAGACCAGATGTATGAGGAAAACTATCATTCACCTGATGATAAGACCAGATGTATGAGGGAAAACTATCATTCACCTGATGATAAGACCAGATGTATGAGGAAAAACTATCATTCACCTGATGATAAGACCAGATGTATGAGGAAAAACTATCATTCACCTGATTGATAAGACAAGATGTATGAGGAAAACTATCATTCACCTGATGATTAATGAAACTATCATCACTGTATAAGACAGATGTATGAGGAAAACTATCATTCACCTGATGATAAGACAAGATGTATGAGGAAAACTATCATTCACTGATGATAAGACAAGATGTATGAGGAAAACTATCATTCACCTGATGATAAGACCAGATGTATGAGGAAAACTATCATTCACCTGATGATAAGACCAAGATGTATGAGGAAAACTATCATTCACCTGATGATAAGACCAGATGTATGAGGAAAACTATCATTCACCTGATGATAAGACAAGATGTATGAGGAAAAACTATCATTCACCTGATGATAAGACAAGATGTATGAGGAAAACTATCATTCACCTGATGATAAGACAAGATGTATGAGGAAACTATCATTCACCTGATGATAAGACAAGATGTATGAGGAAAAACTATCATTCACCTGATGATAAGAGCAGATGTATGAGGAAAACTATCATTCACCTGATGATAAGACAAGATGTATGAGGAAAACTATCATTCACCTGATGATAAGACCAGATGTATGAGGAAAACTATCATTCACCTGATGATAAGACAAGATGTATGAGGAAAACTATCATTCACCTGATGATAAGACCAGATGTATGAGGAAAACTATCATTCACCTGATGATAAGACAAGATGTATGAGGAAAACTATCATTCACCTGATGATAAGACCAGATGTATGAGGAAAACTATCATTCACCTGATGATAAGACCAGATGTATGAGGAAAACTATCATTCACCTGATGATAAGACAAGATGTATGAGGAAAACTATCATTCACCTGATGATAAGACCAGATGTATGAGGAAAACTATCATTCACCTGATGATAAGACCAGATGTATTTGAGGAAAACGAAACTTCCGGAGGACCTATCATTCTTTCACTCCCTCCCCTCTACATTTAAAAAAACGTTTTAGTCATTTAAGCAGACGCTCTTATCCAGAGCGACTTACAGTTAGTGAGTGCATACATTTTTCATACTGGCCCCCCGTGGGAAACGAACCCACTACCCTGGCGTTGCAAGCGCCATGCTCTACCAACTGAGCTACAGGAGGTTGCTGTTGGGACTACACATCCTTCTGTATCCGCTGCTAAAGCCACTTTCTATCACACGAAATGTCAAGGAAACTCTTTTCCCACCTTCTCCCTCCTTAAATCCTTAAAAGTATATTGACGCACCCATGCGTGGGCTGTGTATCAATCCACTGCCTCCACCTGTGTCGGCCTTCCGCATCTGCGGTGAAAGGTGGCAGAGCTACAGCAGTGTTTGTCAGACCAGGAGACGTCCCGAAAACCGGTCTTCTCACGAAAACGTCTGTGGCGTCCAAACGGTGGTGTTCTCTGTTTTGCCCAACGACCCCCACAAGTGTCACGGGACTCGTCTGAAGGTAACCGGTACCGGTTTAAAACATGAATGGAAGACGTTTTGTGCCAACCCCCAAAAAAGGGGTTAAATATGTATTCATAAAACAAAAATATTGGCCTCCCGAGTGGCGCAGCGGTCTAAGGCACTGCATCGCAGGTAGCTAAAGGCCTAGACTTTTAGAGGTTAATCCTCCACTCCCTCAGTCTCTGCGGACGACTTTGAAAACCACTTTGAAAAGAAGGTTGACGACATCCGCTCCTCATTCATTCTGCCTATTGAGTCCACCTCCCACAGAACTACCCTACTCCTTGACCTATTTCTCCCCTCTCTCTCCAGATGAAATCCTGAGACTAGTGATGTCTGGCTGCCCGACAACCTGCCCGCTCGACCCCATCCCCTCCTCCCTTCTCCAGACCATCTCTGGAGACCTTCTACTATTCCTCATCTCCTGGCTGCGTCCCCTCCTTTCCAAAACACTCGCTATCTCTCTCAGAATTATCTTCTTGACCCTAAACAGTCAGGCTTCAAGACGGGTCATACAACCGAGACGATCACGGAGGCTCTCCGCACTGCCAAAGATGACTCGCTCTCCTCTGTTCTCATCCTCCTAGATCTATCCGCTGCCTTTGACACGTGAACCATCAGTTCCTCCTCTCCATCCTCTCAGGGCTGGGCGTCTCAGGCTCTGCACACTCTTGGATTGCATCCTACCTGGCAGGCCGCTCCTACCAGGTGACGTGGAGAGGATCTGTGTCTGCACCACGTACTCTCACTACTGGTGTCCCCCAGGGCTCGGTTCTAGGCCCTCTCCTCTTCACTCTATACACCAAGTCACTCGGCTCCATCATATCCTCACATGGTCTCTCCTATCATTGCTATGCGGATGACACTCAACTTTTATCCTTCACCCCTTCTGACACTCAGGTGGCGACACGCATCTCCGTACGCCTGGCAGATATCTCTGCCTGTACTCAGTTCTGCCACCTCTGTTCTCTTGGCCACCCCTTTCGTGAACTAACACTCACACTTGACTTTTTTCTCCCCCTACTAGCACTGACTATGCTGACAGCTTACTATGACTGAGATATGTGGTCCCACCTAGCTATCTGAAAGTGGCACTCCAGGCTCCTTTTCACCTCATTTAACACCTGATTTACTTAACAAAAGGAACATCTCAATAGGTGGTCCAGGTATGTCGTGACATCACAAGCGGGGGGGGGGGGGGGGGGGGCTTTCCTCTTTTGTTCTCTATTGCTCCTCAAGCAAGTGGGGAGGCTGATGACATCACAGATTCCCATCAGCCCAACTCCTTGACAACAACAAAAAATACTGTTTTGAGCAAAACATAATTTTTTTTACCCTTTAGTGTGTGTACTTTACTGTACTTGGGATATCACTTTTCAACAGGAAAAGTTTTTTTTAAAATCAGGACGTCTTTAAGATGAAGGCACTAACTAAATCGATCCGGATAAGAGAGTCTGCTAAACGACTAAAATGTAGTAATTGTACATCTTAAATGACCACGTTGTCATGAATTTGACGATGTAAGCTTGAAGCACATTCACCAAAAACAGTATGGGACTCGCACCAGGAAGTAGGTGGGACTTTCACAGCATATCAGATACCAAGTGAACTGTGGGTGACAGTCTACCGTTCTAATCTAACCATCGCCAACAGCTGGGCTAAAACATTAAAGAATATAGACAGAAATATAGAGCTTCAATATTTAGATTTAAAAATGGGAAAAGAGGACAGGACATAGGAAGAGGATGTTGGGGGTGGCATTATAGGGAGAGGCAGTCTTACTTGAGTCCTGGCAGGTCTTTGACGCTGGCCGTGATCTCTCCAGCCTCAGGGGTGAGTTTCTCCACAAGCTCCAGGGCCCCCCAGAAAGACTTGTTCTGCCCCAGGAACGTCTTCTTGGCTGAGGGGGTTGGTAGAGGAAGGGTGTTCCAGGACAAGCAGAGGAGGAGGGGTGTTAGGCAGAGGGACTGGCTGTGACCAAGAAAGCTTTCGTTTCCTTTATGCTTAAAACCTCTGGGGCTAAACAGCGCTCTCTGCTTTTAAGTACAGCGTCTTCAGAAAGTATTCCTAACCCTTGACGTATTGCACATTTTGTTGTGTTACAGCCTGAATTCAAAATGGATTCAATTGATTTCCCCTCACCCATCTACACACAATACCCCATTATAACAAAGTGAAAACATGATTAGATATTTTTTCAAATTTATTGAAAATGAAACAGAAATATCTCATTTATATAATTATTCACACCCCTGAGTCAATACGTTAGAATCACCTTTGGCAGTGATTGCAGCTGTGAGTCTTTTTGGGCAAGTCTCTAAGAGCTTTACACACCTGGATTGTGCAACATTTGCACATTATACTTTTTTTAATTATTCAAGGGCTGTCAATTTGGTTGTTGATCGTTGCTAGACAGACATTTTCAGGTCTTGCCATAGATTTTCAAGCCGATTTAAGTCAAAACTGTAACTAGGCCACTCAGGAACATTCAATATTGTATTGGTAAGCAACTCCACTGTATATTTTGCCTTGTGTTTTAAGTTATTGTCCTGCTGAAAGGTGATTTCATCTCCCAGTGTCTGGTGGAAAGCAGACTGAACCATGTTTTCCTCCAGGATTTTGCCTGTGCTTAACTCTATTCCGTTTCTTTGTATCCTAAAAAACTCCCTAGTCCTTGCCGATGACAAGCAAACCCATGACATGATGCAGCCACCACCGTACTTGAAAATATGAAGAGTGGTACTCAGTGATGTGTTATGTTTGGGGCAAATCCAACACAACGCTTTGTATTCAGGACATAAAGTTAATTTCTTTGCCACAGTTTTTGCTGTTTTAATTTAGTGCCTTATTGTAAACAGGTTTGCATGTTTTTGAATATTTTTATTCTGTACAGGCTTCCTTCTTTTCACTCTGTCATTTAGGTTAGTATTGTGGAGTAACTAAAATATTGTTGATCCATCCTCAATTTTCTCCTATCACAGCCATTAAACTAACTGTTTTAAAGTCACCATTGGTCTCCTGGTGAAATCCCTGAGTGGTTATTTCCTCTCCGGCAACTGAGTTAGGAAGGACGCCTGTATCTTTGTAGTGACTGGGTGTATTGATACACCATCCAAAGTGTAATTAATAACAACTTCACCGTGCTCAAAGGGATATTCAATGCCTGTGTTCTACCAATAGGTTCACTTCTTATGAGGCATTGTAAAACCTCCCTGGTCTTTGCTGTTGAATCTGTGTTTGAAATTCACTGCTCGACTGAGGGACATTACAGATAATTGTATGTGTGGGGTACAGAGATGAGGTAGCTATTCAAAAATCATGTTAAACACTATTATTCACACAGAGTGAGTCCATGCAACTTATTATGTGATGTAGTGGTCCTCTTAGCTCAGCTTTAGGCACGGCGTTGTAACGCCAGGTAGTGGGTTCGATCCCGGGACACCCTACACAAAAAAAATTATGCACGCATGACTGTAAGTGCTTTGGATAAAGCGTCTGCTAAATGGCATATTATATTATTTATTTTGTTAGCAATTTTTATCTGAACTATTTGGCTTGCCATAACAAAGGGTTGAATACTTATTGACTCAAGACATTTCAGCTTTTCATTTTTAATTAATTTGTAAACTAAAAACTAAAACATATTCTAAAAACATAATTCCACTTCGACATTATCGGGTATGGTGTGTAGGCCAGTGACACACATTCTCAATTTAATCCATTTTAAATTCAGGCTGTAAGAAGAAAAAGTGGAAAAAATAAAAGGGGTGTGAAAACTTTCTGAAGGCCACTGTACATCCTTGGCTTATGAGAATCATTATCATAACTGTATAGGAAATGGTCCAGAAGGGATGTGACTGTTATGAAGACGAGTGCACTCCATGGAGGAACAAGCATCTAGAACAAACAGCCCGGTCCCAGATTGTCTGGTTAAGACGGCACAAATAGATCTGGGACCAGGCTGGAACAAACAACAACATTAGGTAGCTGTAACGTCTCCTTACTTTTGAGTCCGTGTTTGAGGCAGTGCTCCATGACCACGAAGAACTGCTGCAGCGGAGCGTAGTCGGAGTCCAGGGTTCGGCCCAGGTTCAGGGCCGACTCAATCAGGCCCTTGATGCTCAGCTTAGCCATGTTCATCAGGTTCAACCGCTCAATGGCTATAGGGTCCTTTGGATCTGGAGATGGGGAGGCAGAGAGGGGGGGAAAGGGGGGAGGATGAGGATAGGGGGGAAAGGGTGGGGAGAGAGAGGAGGAGGGGAAAGGGGGGGAGAGACTAGAGGAGAGGCGCGGGGAAAGGGGGGGAGAGATAGAGGAGAGGGGGAAGGGAAAGGGGGGGAGCGATAGAGGAGAAGGGGAAAGGGGGTGAGAGGATGAGGGAGGGGGAAAGGGGGGAGAGGATAGAGGAGAGGGGGAAAGGGGGGAGAGAGATGAGGAGAGGGGGAAAGGGGGGGAGAGATAGAGGAGAGGGGGAAGAGAGGGGGGAGAGAGAAGGGGGGAGCACGGAAGGGAGAAGAGGAGAGGGCGAAAGGGGGGAGAGAGGGTGGCAAAAGGCCGGACAGAGAGGAGGGGGAGGGGGAGGTGTAGCAGCAACAGAGGAGGGGGGGGAGAGGGAGGGCGAAAGCCAGAGAGAGGAGGAGAGCAGGAGAGGGAGGGGGAGAGGCTAGAGGCAGCAACAGAGAGAGGAGGGGGGAGGTAGCAGCAAAGAGAGGGGAGAGAGGAGGCGTAGCAGCCAACAGAGAGAGGAGGGGGGAGGCTGTAGCAGCCAACAGAGAGAGGAGGGGGGAGGCTGTAGCAGCCAACAAAGAAAGCAATGGAACAGGGCTAGAGTGACAGAACAAGGCCAACAAGATGACGAAAGAGGCGCAGGACGTAGCAGCCCAACAGAGAGGAGGGGGGAGGCTGTAGCAGCCAACTCAAATACGCAACAATGCATTTGCTCTCTAATGACAGAACAAGGCCTACATGATGACAGAACAAGGCCTACATGATGACAGAACAAGGCCTACATGATGACAGAACAAGGCCTACATGATGACAGAACAAGGCCTACATGATGACAGAACAAGGCCTACATGATGACAGAACTAGGCCTACCATGATGACAGAACTAGGCCTACAGATGAACAGGAACAAGGCCTACATGATGACAGAACAAGGCCTACATGATGACAGAACAAGGCCTACATGATGACAGAACAAGGCCTACATGATGACAGAACAAGGCCTACATGATGACAGAACAAGGCCTACATGATGACAGAACAAGGCCTACATGATGACAGAACAAGGCCTATATGATGACAGAACAAGGCCTATATGAACACATGATCAAAATGACAGCATTGATTCAGATGGGTTTAGCATCCATTTTGTCAGAACATGGAAGGGCATTCTACATCTGAAGATGAAACTGGCATCATAAGTCACAGCCTTTATACTGCAGAACAGCTTATGTGGAGGTACAAAGACAATAATTACACATCCACTTCACATTCTCCCCAAAATATAGTCTTTAAGGCTGTGGTACACTCATTCTATACAGTCTCCTATAAAACTACAGAGTACTGTGTAACCTTGACATGTAAATACTGACGAGACACTGGATATCATGCTGTGAACATCATGCAACTACAATATACGGTATGCAGTTCGATCATACGAGTGAAGACCTTTAAAGTTAGGGAACAATGTTGTGAAATGAAGAAGCAGCCAGTGGAAGAAGCCAGGTTTATTGGTCTTGTTTCCTCCTGAGCTCATATTCTATAGGAGCAGTGGCCTACTTCTAAATGAAACTGCTCTCAAACAAATGTTTGTGGCAAACGCCTAACAGTTTGTTGTTGGTTCAGACAGTAACCTTCTGACACACTGGGGGTTCTAGGACCCTGGGGGTACTTGAGAAGACTCATGAGACCATAGGCTTACTGGTAAAATGCACATTAGGGGGTACTTCAGGGGTGGAACAGTAATCGAAAATGGTTGAAAACCACTGAGCTATAGAATAGGATAAGTGTTGATCCCATGCTTCATGAGCTGAAATAAAATATCCCAGAAATGTCATGCACAAATTAGTTTACATTCCTGTTAGTGAGCATTTCTCCTTTCCCAAGATAATCCATCCACCTGACAGGTCTGGCATTTCAAGAAGCTGATTGATCATTACACAGGTGCACCTTGTGCTGGGGACAATAAAAGGCCACTCTAAAATTAGCAGTATTGTCACAACACAATGCCACAGATGTCTCAAGTTGAGGGAGTGAGCAATTGGCATGCTGACTGCAGGAATGTCCACCAGAGCTGTTGCCAGAGAATTGAATGTTCCTTTATCTACCATAAGCCACCTCCAACGCAGCTTTAGAGAATTTGGCAGTATGTCCAACCGGCCTCACAACCACAGACCAAGTGTAACCACGCCAGCCCAGGACCTCCACATCCGGCTTCTCACCTGTGGGACCAGCCACCCAAACAACTGATGAAACTGATGAGTATTTCTGTCTGTAATAAAGCCCTATTGTGGGGAAAAACGAATTCTGATTGACTGGGCCAGGCCCACCCATGGCTGAATCCATGCCCAGTCATGTGAAATCCATAGATTAGGGCCTAATTATTTATTTCAATTGACTGATTTCCATATATGAACTGTAAATCAGTAAAATCTTTAAAATTGTTGCATGTTGCGTTAATATGTTTGATCAGTATATTTACAAATCCTAGGAACAGGCTGGAGCCGGTTTGGCAGTTCTGTGGGGGGAGGTAGGCCTAACCCTGGCATAGCTCTGAGCTCTACCCAACAGGTCCTTGCAGCAACAGGGTACTGGCCAGGAAACAGAGAGAGAATAAAGCAACAGAGCCATGGTAGAGGTAGAGAGAGAGATGTGGAATGTTTACCGTTCATTTTTTATTGTTTTTCCACTTTTGTTTATTATCCATTTCACTTACTTTGGCAACGTAAAGATACGTTTCCCATGACGATAAAGACACGTTTCCCATGACGATAAAGATACGTTTCCCATGACGATAAAGATACGTTTCCCATGACGATAAAGCCCTTTGAATAGAGCGAGAGTGAGTCTGATGGCAAGATGATAATGTCATTGTATGTTGTAGCGCAGGGTTCCCCAATTAGATTTCCAAAAGGGCCATATTTGGTCAGGCATGCCAAGCCGAGGGCCAACATGTTTGTTTTTTTGGCGACAGTTTTATGATTTATCAGAATTCACTTCTATTGTGATTTTATATAATTATTAGTAGTGGTGTTAGGAGTCACATAAGAGAAAAATGAAAAATACTAAATTAGTCCAAAACCAACAATTTAATTATGTTGTTTTACACATCGTTAAAACCCGAGTGCTTGTATGACGTTAACACGCTTGCAATTTTTTGTTTGCGCTGGTCAGATTTTTCTGGGTAGTTTGCATTAAAACTGGCAGCATGAAGAGAGTTAAAATACCGCTTCAGATTGTCCGCTTTGATTCCAGCTACAGTCTGAATGCATATTAAGCATGTGGGCATAGCACTGTTGTGGTCCGGTAAAAAAAAAGCAATACCTCTCAGTCCAGTCAGTTTTTACTGACGGTTTCTCCCTGGTCTACCTTGCGTATCTTGGCCAATGCCATGTTGGTTTGACTGGATTTAATAATGTTTTGTGAGGAAGTGGTCAGTCCTTTTGATGAAAGAGGGTTAACTGGCGAGCGGCTGCGGCTACTGTGTGTGTGTGACACTACACTGGGTAGCTAGTCGAGTGGAGACGAGTACGCAAAGCGCGCAAAGCATGTCTTAAATAATAAAATATGATAATAATATGCCATTTAGCAGACGCTTTTATCCAAAGCGACTTACAGTCATGTGTGCATACATTTTTGTGTATGGGTGGTCCCGGGGATCGAACCCCACTACCCTGGCGTTACAAGCGCCGTGCTCTACCAGCTGAGCTACAGAGGACCACCATGTCTTACGTATGCACGCGGTAAAGCAGAGCCGTGGATATTAAATTCATGTTTATTATAACAAGTGAATGCCAATGCTGTCAGTGTGGGCCAGACATTTTGCTCTTGCGGGCCGGATCTGGCCCGCAGGCCGCTTATTGGGGTTGGCTGCTGTAGTGTTAAGATTTCCCGTCACTGGAACTAAGGGGCCTAGCCCAAGCGATGAAAAACAGCCCCAGACCATTATTCCTCCTCCACCAAACTTTACAGTTGGCACTATGCATTGGGGCAGGTAGCGTTCTCCTGGCATCCGCCTAACCCGGATTAGTCCATCGGACTACCAGATGGTGAAGCGTGATTCATCACTCCAGAGAATGCATTTTCACTGCTCCAGAGTCCAATGACGGTTAGCTTTACACCACTCCAGCCGACGCTTGGAATTGAGCATGGTGATCTTAGGCTTGTGTGCAGTTAAAATTGGCAAAAAAACACACATTTCTTTCCACAGGGCCGTGGGGTGAGACAGGGATGCAGCTTGAGCCCCACCCTCTTCAACATATATATCAACGAATTGGCGAGGGCACTAGAACAGTCTGCAGCACCCGGCCTCACCCTACTAGAATCTGAAGTCAAATGTCTACTGTTTGCTGATGATCTGGTGCTTCTCTCCCCAACCAATGAGAGCCTACAGCAGCACCTAGATCTTCTGCACAGATTCTGTCAGACTTGGGCCCTGACAGTAAGTCTCAGTAAGTCAAAAAATATTGGTGTTCCAAAAAGGTCCAGTTAACAAGACAACAAATACATCTTATAGACACTGTTGCCCGAGATCACGCAAATAATTATACCTACCTCGGCCTACACATCAACAACACAGGTAACTTCCACAAGGCTGTGAACGATCTGAGAGACAAGGCAAGAGGGCCTTCTATGCCATCAAATGGAACATAAAACTCAGCATCCCAATTAGGATCTGGCTAAAAATACTTCAATCAGTTATAGAACCCAATGCCCTCTATGATTGTGAGGTTTGGGGTCCACTCACCAACCAAGAATTCACAAAATGGGACAAATACCCCAATTGAGACTGTGCATGTGGAATTCTGAAAAGATATATAGTGCCTTCGGAAAGCATTCAGACGCCTTGACTTTTTCTAAAATGGATTTAAAAAATAAAAATCTTCAGAAATCTACACACAATACCCCATAATGACAAAGTGAAAACAGGATGTTAGAAATTATTCAGACCCTTTGCAATGAGACTCGAAGTTGAGCTTAGGTGCATCCTGTTTCCATTGATCATCCTTGAGATGTTTCTACAGCTTGATTGGAGTCCACCTGTGGTAAATTCAATTGATTGGACATGATTTGGAAAGGCACAAACCTGTCTATATAAGGTCCCACAGTTGACAGTGCAAAAACCAAGCCATGAGGTCGAAGGAATTGTCCGTAGAGCTCTGAGACAGGATTGTGTCGAGGCACAGATCTGGGGAAGGGTACAAAAAAAATGTCTGCAGCATTGAAGGTCCCCAAGAACACAGTGGCCTCCATCATCAAGTTGTAGAAACATCTCAAGGATGATAAATGGAAACAGGATGAAAATTAGCTCTATTTCGAGTCACATAAAGGGTCTGAATACACATTTGCAAACATTTCTAAAAATCTATTTTTGCTTTGACATTATGGGGTATTGTGTGTAGATTGATGAGGGGAAAAAACTATTTAACTCATTTTAGAATAAGGCAGTAACATAACAAAATGTGGAAAGGTCAAGGGGTCTGAATACTTTCCAAATGCACTGTATATACATATTTTACATTTTACATTTTAGTCATTTAGCAGACGCTCTTATCCAGAGCGACTTACAGTTAGTGAATACATACTTTTTCTCTTTTTTTAATACTGCCCCCCCGTGGGAATCGAACCCACAACCCTGGCGTTGCAAACGCCATGCTCTATCAACTGAGCTACATCCCTGCCGGCCATTCCCTCCCCTACCCTGGACGACGCTGGGCCAATTGTGCGTCGCCCATGAGTCTCCCGGTCGCGGCCGGCTGTGACAGAGCCTGGATTCGAACCAGGATCTCTAGTGGCACAGTTAGCACTGCGATGCAGTGCCTTAGACCACTGCGCCACTCAGGAGAAGGTCTTACATGCCTCCTGTAAGACCTTATGATCCGTGACCCGTACAGACCATACATACATGTGGTCCTCTGTAGCTCAATTGGTAGAGCACGGCGCTTGTAACGCCAGGGTAGTGGGTTCGATCCCCGGGACCACCCATACGTAAAAATGTATGCGCTTTGGATAAAAGCGTCTGCTAAATGGCATATTATATTATATTATTATACATGATACAGACATGATACACACCACATCTTGGTGTCATCATAGTCCTCATAGAGCGCTCTAACATATGGTGTATGGCTATATTCTGAAATAAAATTCACATTAATTTATTCAACATAAAAAAATATTAGTAGTATCTCAAAAGTTCCCTTTTTGATTTTGCTTGTTTTTAGACATTGTTTGGCCACAATGTACTCTTCAGGCACATCAGCGTTCCAGAGTCGGCTTTCTGCTACTTTTGAAGAAATTATCAACTTTATACAGAAACCAAATCACAGCCCTCCTGTAGAATTGCACATTCAGCAAATCACCAGCAGAGGGAGTTCAATTGAACTATTTTCCGATTCACTGTTTGTGGTGGTGCTCATAAAAAGTATCTTAACATTAAAAGTAGCAGAGAGCCCACTCTGGAAATGTGATGTACTTGTAGAGTATATCGTTTAAAACAAATGTCTAAAAAAAACGAACAAAATTGATGTTGAATAAATGAATGTGTAAAATGAAATGATTTATATAAACACACTAGAGGACTGATTTGGGGGTACTGTGTTGAAGCGACCACACCTCCATCTTGGTATTCCCCACCGTTGTAAAAAATTTTTTTTTTTTTGAAGTAATAGAAATCCATTTATTAATGTCTACATTCGTTTATTTTATTACAGACACCTTAATTGCATACTTTAACATTCTATTATGACCTAAACTAAAATTTATATTTTTAGAGATTACTAATGTTATTGTCCCCACTACAACAACTAAATAGATGTAATTTTGTCCTTGAAACATTGAATTGAAATACTGTAGAATTCCATTCATTCCTATGGAGGACTGCTCCTACTGGGGAGTGCCAATATGGCCGACCGGTGGCTTCAAAGCCTCTCATTGGCCAATTCATAGCATCAGCAATCCAGGGTTTATATAAAATCATTGGTAAAATTGTATTTAAGAATGTAGCGATACCTCATTTTTTGGGAGCACACGGTATAATGACACCAAGATGTCTGTATCACGGGATCCCTACAGGACACAGGATCCCTACAGACACAAGACCTCATCTGAAAGATGCACCTTAATTCCAAGCAGCACCTCACCACACCTAGGGTGACCACATTTAAACTACCCCACATGCAGGACAGCAGGATGATTTACGTGACAGTGTAGCCTAATCACACCCCTCTCCTCCTCCATGGCTCAGAGAGAACATCATTACCATGACCTGGGCCTGTATTCTGACGTGACTACATTACCATGACCCGGGCCTGTATTCTGACGTGACTACATTACCATGACCAGGGCCTGTATTCTGACGTGACTACATACCATGACCGGGCTGTTACTGACGTGACTACATTACCATGACCTGGGCCTGTATTCTGACGTGACTACATTACCATGACCTGGGCCTGTATTCTGACGTGACTACATTACCATGACCTGGGCCTGTATTCTGGCGTGACTACATTACCATGGCCTGGGCCTGTATTCTGGCGTGACTACATTACTATGGCCTGGGCCTGTATTCTGACGTGACTACATTACCATGACCTGGGCCTGTATTCTGGCGTGACTACATTACCATGACCTGGGCCTGTATTCTGGCGTGACTACATTACCATGACCTGGGCCTGTATTCTGGCGTGACTACATTACCATGACCTGGGCCTGTATTCTGACGTGACTACATTACCATGACCTGGGCCTGTATTCTGACGTGACTACATTACCATGACCTGGGCCTGTATTCTGACGTGACTACATTACCATGACCTGGGCCTGTATTCTGACGTGACTACATTACCATGACCAGGGCCTGTATTCTGACGTGACTACATTACCATGACCTGGGCCTGTATTCTGACGGGACTACATTACCATGACCTGGGCCTGTATTCTGACGGGACTACATTACCATGACCTGGGCCTGTATTCTGACGGGACTACATTACCATGACCTGGGCCTGTATTCTGACGTGACTACATTACCATGACCTGGGCCTGTATTCTGACGTGACTACATTACCATGACCTGGGCCTGTATTCTTGGCGTGACTACATACCATGACCTGGGCCTGTATTCTGGCGTGACTACATTACCATGACCTGGGCCTGTATTCTGGCGTGACTACATTTACCAATGACCTGGGCCTGTATTCTGACGTGATACATTACCATGACCTGGGCTGTATTCTGACGTGACTACATTACCATGACCTGGGCCCTGATCTGACGTGATACATTGACCATGACCTGGGCCTGTTTCTGACGTGACTACCTTACCATGACCAGGGCCTGTATTCTGACGTGACTACATTACCTGACCTGGGCCTGTATTCTGACGTGACTACATTACCATGGACCTGGGCCTGTATTCTGACGGGACTACATTACCATGACTGGGCTGATTCTGACGTGACTACATTACCATGACCTGGGCCTGATTCTGACGGGACTACATTACCATGACTGGGCCTGTATTCTGACGGGACTACATTACCATGACCTGGGCGTATTCTGACGGGACTACATTACCATGACCGGCCTGGGCCTGTATTCTGACGTGACTACATTACCATGACCTGGGCCTGTATTCTGACGTGACTACATTACCATGACCTGGGCCTGTATTCAGACGTGACTACATTACCATGACCCGGGCCTGTATTCTGACGTGACTACATTACCATGACCTGGGCCTGTATTCTGACGTGACTACATTACCATGACCTGGGCCTGTATTCATAAAGAGTCTCAGAGTAAGAGTGCTGATCTAGAATCAAGTCCTTCTGTCCGTGTTATTTATTATGATCTAAAAGGCTGATATTAGATCAGTACTCCTACTGAGATTAGTTTTTATGAATATGGGCCCTGGATGCAGTAACGTTGCATCCTCTTGAACAGGGCCCCATCCCCCACACCCCCTCCACCATCCTAGACTAGGTCAGCCTCAGCCCCTGTCAGTCACCTACCTTCGTGGGCTGGTTCTGGGTCCGGGGTGAGGGAGATGTCGTTGAGCTCCCTGAGACAGAGCCATTCTCCGTCCACAGACACACGGAAGTTGCACAGGTAAATGGTTTCCCGGGCGGCTTGCGTGATCTTGTCAGTGGTGGGGGTCGGGGCATCGGCCTGAGGAGTCACGTCTGCCATGATGACTCAGCGAATAGAGGGCTGAGAGAAGAATGGCAACAAAGCAGGAACGCTCTCTCTGTCCAGGCGACACAAAGGCCGAAAAGAGGGGGATGGAGAGAAAATGTCTGTGCCGAACCACAGCAGTGGAACAGGACTGAAGAGATGAGAGAAAGAGGACAGAACGGTGTCCAACTCTTCAGATAGAAGAAAGGACGGCGTTATTTTCTTCCACTCCGTGCCTCCTCCCCCTTCACGTACTCCTGCCTTTCGGATGAGTAAGGAGAAAAAAACACCACTGTGCGTCTGTCTCAACAAAAGCTGCAGTCCTGCCCTCTCCTCTCTCCTCTCTGCAGCGCGGCACAGCCTGGGTACTGGGAGAACAACGCTAGGTCTCTGCCTGGGCGCGGCCTGGCTACTGGGATAACAACGCTAGATCTCTGCTCTGCTGGAATTACAGCTTCTCCTTTTGGTGGGCTCTGCCTTCGCCCCTCTCCTCTCGTTCGGCTAACCCTCACAGGATTGGCTGTGTGCAGGCAGTGAGTCGCTGCTCCTCTGACAGACAGCAGAGTGGGTGTTGACCAAGATGGCTGCCTGATAATGAGCTAGTTGGGCAACATCACCTGACCAGATGGTGCATGCGTAAAAAAGGGGAGGGGGGGGGGGGGGGGGGGTGCACTGTAATTCCCCATGATGCCCATTTGTTGCTTTTGATGCTGGGAGGGAGAGAGGAGGCATATTTGATGCAGGGAGGGAGGAGGGAGGGGGGCATATTTGATGCGGCTCGTCGCTCTCTCTGGCATCAGCCAGATTTCCTGGCAGGGAAGAACTATTAAATCAAAACACTGAGCTGAGAACCACCATTTTACTCAGCCACCTGTATTTACAGGATACAACTGCCCCATAAAAACACTGGACATTTGAATCCTTTGTTCTATCAAGGAAAAGGGTAAGGGGATACGTAGTCAGTCACACATTTCGGTTGTATCTTCCACATTTAACCCCTCTGAATCGGAGGCTGCCGTAATCCACGTCACGGATTTATGAGCCCACACCATCTAATAACTTTAGAACTATAAGTATTTCAACATTATTGCATATCTTTATATTTGTTATAGGCAATGTAAAATAGATTTCTCAATTACTTACCTAGTTAAATAAAGAATGAAAACATGAAATGTGCACCGTTGTCGACAACTGCAAGAAAATAATATTTCACACTGATGTAACACCCGAGTCATGGGTTGATGTGGTAGCTAACAAGTTCTCAGGTCCAAGCGGCCTCATTATAATGTTGCACACACACACACACACACAATATGCTTGCGCCAGTTCACGCAAAAGTTGGCATTCATAAAAACCTAAATTTGACGGGAGAATGTGCTAGAATATTATCCTCCCACAATCTTTAGACCATGCGTACGCACAGTTTCTAGTGGTTGAAATATTGCACTGCAAGGCAGCAAAAGTAGCCTAGTAGCAGCCTTGTGCTAAATGGGGAATTATGTATATATTATTTTTATATAATAATTATATAATTTTATATATAATTACAGTGGGGGAAAAAAGTATTCAGTCAGCCACCAATTGTGCAAGTTCTCCCGCTTAAAAATATGAGAGGCCTGTAATTTTCATCATAGGTACACGTCAACTATGACAGACAAAATGAGAAAAAAAATTCCAGAATTTTTAATGAATTTATTTGCAAATTATGGTGGAAAATAAGTATTTGGTCAATAACAAAAGTTTCTCAATACTTTGTTATATACCCTTTGTTGGCAATGACACAGGTGAAACGTTTTCTGTAAGTCTTCACAAGGTTTTCACACACTGTTGCTGGTATTTTGGCCCATTCCTCCATGCAGACCTCCTCTAGAGCAGTGATGTTTTGGGGCTGTCGCTGGGCAACACAGACTTTCAACTCCCTCCAAAGATTTTCTATGGGGTTGAGATCTGGAGACTGGCTAGGCCACTCCAGGACCTTGAAATGCTTCTTACGAAGCCACTCCTTCGTTGCCCGGGCGGTGTGTTTGGGATCATTGTCATGCTGAAAGACCCAGCCACGTTTTATCTTCAATGCCCTTGCTGATGGAAGGAGGTTTTCACTCAAAATCTCACGATACATGGCCCCATTCATTCTTTCCTTTACACGGATCAGTCGTCCTGGTCCCTTTGCAGAAAAACAGCCCCAAAGCATGATGTTTCCACCCCCATGCTTCACAGTAGGTATGGTGTTCTTTGGATGCAACTCAGCATTCTTTGTCCTCCAAACACGACGAGTTGAGTTTTTACCAAAAAGTTCTATTTTGGTTTCATCTGACCATATGACATTCTCCCAATCCTCTTCTGGATCATCCAAATGCACTCTAGCAAACTTCAGACGGGCCTGGACATGTACTGGCTTAAGCAGGGGGACACGTCTGGCACTGCAGGATTTGAGTCCCTGGAGGCGTAGTGTGTTACTGATGGTAGGCTTTGTTACTTTGGTCCCAGCTCTCTGCAGGTCATTCACTAGGTCCCCCCGTGTGGTTCTGGGATTTTTGCTCACCGTTCTTGTGATCATTTTGACCCCACGGGGTGAGATCTTGCGTGGAGCCCCAGATCGAGGGAGATTATCAGTATGTCTTCCATTTCCTAATAATTGCTCCCACAGTTGATTTCTTCAAACCAAGCTGCTTACCTATTGCAGATTCAGGTCTTCCCAGCCTGGTGCAGGTCTACAATTTTGTTTCTGGTGTCCTTTGACAGCTCTTTGGTCTTGGCCATAGTGGAGTTTGGAGTGTGACTGTTTGAGGTTGTGGACAGGTGTCTTTTATACTGATAACAAGTTCAAACAGGTGCCATTAATACAGGTAACGAGTGGAGGACAGAGGAGCCTCTTAAAGAAGAAGTTACAGGTCTGTGAGAGCCAGAAATCTTGCTTGTTTGTAGGTGACCAAATACTTATTTTCCACCATAATTTGCAAATAAATTCATTAAAAATCCTACAATGTGATTTTCTGGGAAAAAAATTATTCTCAATTTGTCTGTCATAGTTGACGTGTACCTATGATGAAAAATTACAGGCCTCTCTCATCTTTTTAAGTGGGAGAACTTGCACAATTGGTGGCTGACTAAATACTTGTTTTCCCCCACTGTATATACCCATCTAGTACTGGGTTAGATCCACCCTTTGCCTCCAGAACAGCCAGAATTCTTCGGGGCATTCTAAAAAGTTGTCTGAAACGTTCCACATGGATGTTGGTCCATGCTGACGCGATGGCATCACGCAGTTGCTGCAGATTGGACGGCGGTACATTCATGCTGTGAACAGCCCGTTCCATCTCATCCCAAAGATGCTCTATTGGGTTGAGGTCTGGGGACTGCACAGGCCACTCAAATAAACTTAACTCGCTGTCATGTTCCAGGCGATGCTATTCCACTCCTCAGTTGTCCAGTGTTGGTGATCGCGTGATGACTGGAGACGTTTCTTCTTGTTTTTAGCTTATAGGAGTGGAAACCGGTGTGGTCGTCTGCTGCAATAGCCCATCCGTGACAAATATTGACGAGTTGTGCATTCCGAGATGCCGCACACCACTGTTGTACCGTTATGTCTGTCTGTGGCCCGTCTGTTAGCTTGCACCATTCTTGCCATTCTCCTTTGACGTCTCATCAACGAGCTGTTTTCGCCCACAGGACTGCCGCTGACTGGATGTTTTTTGTTTGTCGCACCATTCTAGGTAAACACTAGACCCTGTCTTACATGAAAAGCCCAGGAGGCCGTTTCTGACATACTGGATCCGGCGCGCCTGGCACAGACTAATCTCAAAGTCGCTTAGGTCACTGGTTTTGCCCATTCTAACATTAAATCGAACAGTAACTGAATGCCTCGATGCCTGTCTGCCTGCTTTACATAACAAGCCACATGACTCATTGTCTGTAGGAGCGATCCATTTTTCGTGAACGGGGGTGGTGTACCTAATAAAACAGGCCAATCAGTGTATGATGACTCTTCTAAATAAAAACAATTGTGTCACAGCCTGAATTTAAAATGGATTAAATAGATTTATCACCTATCTACATACAATACCCCATAATGACAAAGCACAAAAAAAACATTGAAAATGAAATACATAATTATTCACACCCCTGAGTCTCCAGTCGTCACGCGATCACCAACACTGGATACATGTTAGAATCTACTTTGGCAGCGATTACAGCTGTGAGTCTTTCTGGGTACGTCTAAGAGCTTTGCACAACTGGATTGTACAATATTCGCACATTATTATTTTTAAAATTCTTCAAGCTCCGTCAAGTTAGTTGATCATTGCTAGACAGCCATTGTCAAGTATTGCCATAGATTTAAGCTGATTTAAAGTTAAAACTGTAATTAGGCCACTCAGGAACATTCAATGTCGTCTTGGTAAGCAACTCCACTGTATATTTGGCCTTGTGTTTTAGGTTATTCTCCTGCTGTAGGTGAATTCATCTCCCAGTGTCTGGTGGAAAGCAGAATGAACCAGGTTTTCCAGTAGGATTTTGTGCTTAACTCTATTCCGTTTCTTTGTATCCTAAAAAACTCTGTAACTGTTTTAAAGTCCCCATTGGCCTCATGGTGGAATCCCTGCCAGGTTTCCTTCCTCTCCGGCAACTGAGTTAGGAAGGACGCCTGTATCTTTGTAGTGACTGGGTGTATTGATCTGTTTGAAATTCACTGCTCGACTGAGGGACCTTACAGATAATTGAATGTGTGGGGTACAGAGATGAGGTAGTCATTCAAAATTAATGTTAAACACTATTATTGCACACAGAGTGAGTCCATGCAACTTATTATGTGACTTGTTAAGCACATTTCTACTCCTGAACTTATTTAGGCTTGCTTATATCAAGACATTTCAGCTTTTCATTTAATTTTTTTTCTAAAAACAGAATTCCACTTTGACATTATGGGGTATTGTGGTTAGGCCAGTGACACAAAATCTCAATTTAATCCATTTTAAATTCAGGCTGAAACACAACAAAATGTGGAAGAAGTCAAGGGGTGTGAATACTTTCTGAAGGCGCTGTATATCATAACCATCGCAGAATAAATTCCTCACCTTTTGTGGCCATGATGAGTTCATATTCCTGAAGTAGCCATACAAATTACATCTCATTAACGATTATTATTTTTTGTTTGTTTGTTTTGTTTTGACTCATAGCATCCGAAAAGGAGTGGGTTTATAACATACAGTAGAATTTAACAGGCGAACAGACATTTGATATTTTGCATTGAAGTGTACCACTGTAAGTAGGGCCTACTGTAGTTTTCATTTTGTTCAGAATGGAAAATGTTTCAGAATTCGCAGGCAGTGGCAGCATATTTAGGTAACGGAAAAAGTAAATGCAAAACATTATTGAATTCAAATGATCTGTTTACAGGTCAACCATTTGCAATTGTTTTTTTCTTTCAGAAAATGTCAGATACAGCAAATTCCACTGCAAAAGAAAACATTGCCAACACCTCCAAAGACTTTCCTTTAGATACTGTCTAATTCCAATACTTCCAAAGTATAAAGCAAAATAAGGCCATTATTGTCACCATAAAAGCTGAATGATGGGCAATTTTCAGCCGTTGCTATAATGCTCGT